AGTGAAAAAAATTTTCGTTTTTTTCAAATCCCAGGCATTAGGCAAAAGATTTTTTACTTTTCTTTTTTTTTTTTTTGATTCAATCGATTTTTTTGAAAAAATGCCTATCGACGACGACGACTATATCCACCCAATTCAGCAGCAGCAGCTATATTCAAAACATGGGCGCCATGAATGATTTTCGGGCCAGGAATGTTGCATATTTTCGTTTTTTGTTTTTTTTTTGCATATTACACAACACTGAAACAAATTGGTGTGATGAAACATCGGTGTTCCGATCAATTTGTTGTTGCAAGCTTTCAGCAAGAAACAACTGTCAATTAGATTAGAGGCCAATGAATGAATGAATGAATGATACATTTGCATACAACATCAAGGCAGCCGTGCACAACCGGGCACCTTTACAGAGCCAGAGAGAGAGAGAGAGAGAGAGAGAGAGAGAGAGAGAGAATCGAGTTTATCAATTGAATCATAAATCACACACACACACACCACTGGCCCATATATAAAACCACATAATGGTCGTATAATGGCCGAGGCAACCGAAAACAATTTAATTAAACCCGAAAAAACTACCACCAAAAGAACAAAAAAGCAAATCTCTAATGACTGTATGTTCATTAATCCAAAAAAAAAACCAAAGAAACAGATTTCAGTCGGCCAACAAGACCAGCAGGAATCGATGTAAACTTTTTTTTTCAAATAATAATGACTGCTGTAGTCAGCTAAAAAAAGTTTCGACTGTGATTTCTGTTTTAAAAAAAATCGAATCGTTTTAGGGTTTTTTCGGAAAGTTTCTGGAAATTAAATTATTTTTTTAAAAAAATTAAAATCCAAATTCGATTCCAAAAAACAAACCGAAATTTAATTATCTGCAATATTTAATATGAATTCGGTTGGCTAAATGTTTTGATTTTTTTTTAAATTATCTGGCTGGCCTAACTAAGTGTTAAATCAACGATGAGTCAACCAAATAAACAACATTCACCGAAAAAACATAAATCAAATAAACCAAAATCAGCACCGGTCAATAATAATCCACGGTGTATGAAATTTCCCGGTTTAGCATTAAGTACAAAAAATAGTCAACAACGTGAACGTTTAATGCAAACAATCGCAAAAGCATTTAATAAAGAAGATTCATATTCGGATAAATATGTTCGTAATTTATTAATAAAAAATTCACCATGTACAAGTGATAAACGTAGTAGTGAACAACCACAACAACAACAACGTCAACAACCAAAACATACACCAAAAAAATGTCCACCAAAACATCGTGCACCATTCGTATTCAAATTAACAAAATCAATGAAAGAAGAAGCAGCTAAACAATGTGATTATTTACAACAAAAAGTACAAATAAAATCTGTTTCAGATCAATTAACAGTAGTGCCGGTTGTACAGAATGCAAACGATCAAGATAATGATACGGATGATCAACATAATGATAAAGATAGTGATGCTTAATACCAAATACAACACACAAAAAAAAACAAACAACCAAACCTAAATGAGAAAAAAACTTAAAAACAAAAAGTAAATTAATCAACATCCAAATGATGTATGATTGTCGTGTTTGATTTGTATCTATCTATGTCTATGTCTATGTCTATGTCTATGTCTATTTGGCTGTATATTCACAAAACACTTCAAAAAAAACAAAACAAAAATTCAGTGATCGAAATGATCATTTAGCGTGAGACTGTGTTGTTCCAAGAGAGAGAGAGAGAGAGAGAGAGAGAGAGACACCAAACAAACGACACACAACATAATCATCAATCCATTCATCCATCCATCGAAATGAAATGTAGTGCCTTCTTGGAAATCTTTAACTTTTTTCTTTTTCTGTTTCTTGATTTCTGATTACTTTTTTTTGGTTATGTTTTTTTTTGTGTAGTGATAGTGTGTATGGGCGCCCAACCAAAAGAGCAATTCTGTTGTGTTGAGCCTCTCAAGTTTTAGGTTTTAGTTCTGTGTGTGTGTGTGTGCTTTGATTGGAAAAAAAATTCAGAAACAAATTCTTCAAATTGTGCAACTTTTCTTAGATTGTAATACAAAGATAATCAGGGAATAAAACAGAGAGACATAGTGTTTGACAGTTATTTGGGCACGAGCAGCATTACACACACACACACACAGAATATTCTATGCAAAATAGTTTGCATACTGTGTGTGTAAATACCACTGATGCTCTCTCTCTCTCTCTCTCTCTCTCTCTCTCTCTCCCTCGATTAGGTGCCAAAAATGGTCTTTGGACATCTCTCTTTTCTACCAACGTCAATTGAACATAGTCAAATTCAAAAATTCTCAACGATAGAAAAGTCCTATGACCACAACAACAACACAGCATTTTCTATTGATGATGTGCAAATCATCATCATCATTATTCCCAGAAAATTTCTTTATACAAATTCCTTGTCCACACAGCACAGCAGAATATATACAGAATATATAGCAGAATTGGATTTTGCTTGCTTGCTTGCAAAGAAGAAGAAGAAAAAAAAACTTATTTTTCGGCCAAAGGATTATCGATATTTGCAAACACATCAGAATAGCAGCAGCAGCAGCAATGGTGGTGGGTTGTGGTGGTGCAATCAACGCAATTCAAAAAAAAAAAAGTTTATGTTAGCATAATACGTTAAGCTATAAGGGATTCTGGTTAGTCTTTTTCATTCATTCATTCATTGAAAATAACGTGAAATGATTTTATGAACAACCCGACCAAACCAAACCAAACAATCAATGAATGAATGAATGAATAATGGCAAAGGCACACAGTGTGATCATCTTTCACAGAAAGCCAGAAAAAGAAAGAAAGATAAATTGAACATAGGAAATGGATACAAACGAACGAACAAACAAGCAGAAATGACCAATTCAATGATTTTTCGTTATGGCTCATTTTTTCTGTGTTAGCCAGCAAACAAGAAGAATCGCTCGCTCACTTCATTTTCGATAAAAAATCCGGAATAAGATCATTGATCAGGAAATGAATTTCCGATCAGGATCAATCAATTTTGATTCGATCTAGTTCTTTTTTTCTCTGCTGTTTGGTGAAAAGTCTTCTATTCTACTAGATTCTATTCGATTCTTATTTGAGTTTTGTTTTTTGGTTGAATGAAAAAATTCTTTGAAAATTATTTTTTCAACGAATTTTTTTCGCTATCAGGAAAAAAACACATTGATCAATTACCCTTACCTGTTGAGATAGCGATATTGGTAGTGTGTAACCAAAACCAAAAAAAAACCACCACGAATCAAATTAATAATTCATAAGATATGATAATATGATCCTTATCATTCTTCAATCTTTTGTTTTTTCCCCATTTCAAACTACTAGGATTATCACTGCTAAAATTTGACTATTGGTGTTTGACTATTGATCTTTTTTTTTTTTTTTTTTTTTTGGTTCATTTTGGTCATGCCTTACCATTATCAACATGAATTATTGATTAACAATTTAATCTAAATATGGTGATGTGTTTGTCGCCAATCGCCAATGAATAATTCAGAGAAAAATTAAATTCTTTCGGTTCTGCATAACAATGGCAATGCAGGTACAGGTACAGGTGATCAGTTATCGATGATTTTTTGTAGCAATCGATCGATTGATCGATCCATCCATCAATCAATCAATGGTTTGATATGAGTTTCTTGTTAAGAGTTATGATGTTACAGCTGCTGATGCTGCTTCCATTTTTTTCGGTTATAAATTATCTTTGAGATAAGCCACGATTCCGAAAAACCAAAAAAACAAAAACCGATTCATCTGACCGATTTGCAATATACGACGACTATGGCTGGCTGTCAACCAACCAACCATTTGGTTTTGTGATTCATCGTTTTCATTTGTGAAACATTTCTTGGTTTTTGCTATTTTCCAAATAAAAATCATACAGATTCATCATGTAAATGGCCTTTTATTTTCCATTTTCCTTCATCCAAAATCAGATTCTTTTTTTCATAAGCAAAATAAAAGAGAGCGCCCACTGAGGATTCCAATGATGATGACAGAGAGAGAAAGAAAGAAAGGCTGCCTATAGTGTCACCAAGTTTTTGGTATTCAACTTCATAAATCATCAAATCATCATAATCATGCTGATTTTTCTGGATTCCATTCATATATGGCTAGTCTCCTATATTCCATTCATAGTCGATCATCATCCTTTAGACCATTGTGGATATTAATGGCAAACATTACATTCACAATAATATTCCTAAGCAGAATAATGTCTCAATCTCAAAATGCCGACACTGTTTGCCATTGAATTATTATTGAAAGAATCTGGTTTCCGAACAACAACCAAAACAACAAAAATATCAGTAATGATGATATTCTTTTGTTCATTAATTTTTTTCCAGAATATTCGGAATGACTGGCCCATTGTCCAAATCGTCAATTGACAATTAATTAATCCAAAAACCACCTTTGTGCAATTTAGCCCCGTTCGAAAATGCCTTCGTTTTCATTATCACCGAAAAAAATCAAAGCAAACATACACCGATCTGTTCTGTTTGTTTCAATGAACACAGACATTCGAACACATTAATTATAACCCCGGTGTCATCATTTATAACCAAAAAATAAAAAAATAAAAATAAAAGGTGTCTAAAATTGCAAGTTAAATAATGAATGTTTTTTTGGGTCGGAAAAAAAATAATGAACATTACAAATGATGATGATAATAAAACAACTTTATAACAACATTATGTCATCAATTTATAATGGGGCTTCTTTCTTCTTCATCATCATCAATTTAGTCCCTGCGCAGCTTGCTTAACTGCATTGCATTTTTTGTATTTTTCTTCTAACAATATTTGCTGGGCAGTCAACATTAGTATTAAAAAAATAAATGTGATAATCAGGTTATAGACGGGTTAATGAACATCTGTATTTTATGTATGTCTGGTTATGTATGTTTTTTTTTGTTAATTGCAAAATCGACCGCAACTTCTAATTAGTTACGAATTGTCTAATGATGATTTTTTTTCGTTTCGTTCATTCATTATTGTCATTAGAGGATGCTGTTTTTTCTTTCTTTCATTTTGTTTGTCTGCAAAACAGAAAGAAAGAATGAAACATGATCCCCTTGTTTTCACCATTATCATTATGTTATTTTTTTTCTGTTGAAAATGAACCTTGCAAACAGAGAGAATAATGGTAATGACCATTATCATCATCATCATCACTACCATCATCTCTCTATTCATATAATTCATTCATCCGAAACGTGCCAAACATTCGTTCAACCCTTTCGTTAGTTCTATTCTATTCATTCCATTCATTCATTCATTCAGTCGGTTAAACAAAAGCCATAGTGAATAATTGAATGGCTTGTGAATGAATAGAGCCATCAAATGAGCCTTCACATTGTTTAGTTTGGTTGTAACTCAATTCTGGTTTGTTTGTTTGTTTTTTGTATTTGACTTGACTTGTCTTGTCACACCGAGACAGACCAGAAAAAAAATCAACTAACCAACAAACAACAATGATGATGGATTCTATTTGATTATTTCAATCAATTCGATTCCAGTTTTTTTTTCTTTTTCTTCTTCTTCTTCTTCTGTGATTGATCAATCAAACGGCCAGTCAGAATTTTGTTTCAATTTTGTTTTTCGGTTCTGCTGTGTTTACTTATCACAATAAAACTTTTTTTTAAATGTGATAAGCTATGGAATTTGAATGTTTGAACAAACAATTTCAAAAGAGATCGTGAGAGAGCCATGTTGGGATTTTTGATATACTACCACCACCATAAACATCCACCATCAACAAAATCGGCTTTGTAAACATTGATACTAGAGGTGTCAAGAATAAAAAGTTAGAATTCCATCAGATCATACACAGAATTGATGTTCATTAAAACATTGCCGTAAGGCCTATCGAAAACACCTACCTAATATCTTAGGATCGTTAATTATCAGACAAATGGTGAAGACAAATTTGCCAATGTTTCTCTGCCTTGACACTTGTCCTTCATTGATGATGACGAACGAACGAACGAACGAATCTTTGGGAGGTTGATGACTTTATCATTCCTCTTTTTTATTACCAAACAAACAAACAAGCAAGGGTCATTAGAATATCAAATTTCATCAAAAATTTTGATTCAAAAGGAATTCTTTTTTCCATTTTTGTTAATGTTCGACAACAATGCTATATGCACTTTGTTGGCTTCATTCATCATGTGACTATTTTCACAATCCTCATCAACATCATCAAAAGCAAACAGCAGCATTTGGACATGACCAGAATCCGGGTCGAAGAATTGTGTTTCTGAACGAAATGTGTACGTGTGTGATTCTCGTGTGTTTCTTACCACAAAACACATACAACAAGACTAACTTTTTTTGGGAAACTTGATCCATCCAATCAACATAATCAACAATAACAATAACAACAACAACAACATTCATAATGGCATCTCATCTCTCATGAATAGAGGCAGATTTAAAATAATTTCATTCTTCCTCTTCTTCATTCTTGGGTTTGTAATGATTCTCAATTTACAAATGCTGCTGCTGCTGTTTTTTTCATTTTAATTTTCCCATCTCTATATAGAGAATGAATGAAAGAAATTGAAAAAACATTTTGCAATTAACTTTGGCAAGGCAATCATTTAGGCCGGCTGTTTGTTTGGTTTGGTTTGGTTTGGTTTGGCCTGACAATTGATCCAAAAGCCATGATGATGAAACGAAAAAAGGAAAAAGGTATCGCGGCTAATCCCTGGTTGCTCATTGCCCCAAACAAACATGCATATAAATATATAAACCGATAAACAAATATCCAAAGCTAATAACAACAACAACAGCAACATTGGATCAATGACTGAACCTCGAAAACAAATTTATTTAAAATTTTTATTTTGGCTCGCTTCTTCTTCGCTCATATCAATCGACAGTAAAAGCATCCCTAAGGAATTATTTGAACTGATCTGATCTGCTCTGCTCTCTGCCACATAATAAAAAGATTCGGCGTCAATTTATACAGAAAATATATTTTTTTTTGGTTTCTTTGGCCGACAAAACATGTATCTATCCTATTCACTCAACAGAAAATTGTTGTCTTGTCGCCTGCAAACTTATCCAATGTCTAACTTTTTTTTATATTCAAAATGATTGAATTGGATGCCTGACTGAATGACTGACTGACTGACTGACTGACTGCTTGCCTGCCTGCCCGAATAAATGAATGAATGAAAAAGAATTTTTTCATCCATAACTAAATTGGCAAACACCAGAGAAACAAGCTTAAAGTTGTTGTTGTTGTTGATGAAAGAAAAAAGGAAAATTTCCAATTGCTTTGAAAATCCATGTTTGTGGCATATATATCACTTTTTATTCTTTGAAACGAATGTTTACTAATTCGTCGTATGTGTGTCGACGAATAATATTCATTTTCTAGTGCCATAATGTCGTGCCTTGTTTTTGGTTCCCAAATAAACAAAACAACCGTGTCAAGTGTCATCTTGACAATGTTTAGAATAAGTAAAAGTAAAAGGAAAAAAAAACTCGAAAATTGGAAAAATTTTTCTTCAATTTATTCCCCCCCTAGTCGTATATATTTTTGGACCAGTCGATTTTAATATAATGAAAACAAATCGCTTGGGATGTGAAAAGAAGAATAAGCATCTTCATCTTGCATCTCATCCGATTCGATCTGATCTGATCTGATCGAATCGGATCTTGTCGTCGTCGTCGTTTGAATAATGATCGTTGTTCGTGCATCGGCATTCAATTCACTCACTTAACACAAACATTTTATTATATATACACCATCGCTAGATCATTACGCACTCTATCGACCAAATTAAGGTCAATTCGGATAATCGAAGAAAAACAAAACAAAACAAACAAAGCAAATGTGAATAACAAATTGAATTATTCATTATTGAAAATTATTATTATCGATGAATTGTTTTGTTTCAAAAAAACTCGAATAAAAAGCTACCAATCAATGTAATTTATCAAATTTGTGAAATGGATTCGAACATAAGTAAAACGAGTAGATTAAGCCAACGAAGATTAAGTAAATGTAGTACAGTGGCTGTCAAAACATCGACTAGTCAAAAAAATGCCATTTATTATGATTCAAGTAATGAAGGTTTAGATTTTGAAGAATCACAACTATGTTTGTCAATGAATCGTATGCGTCGTTTATATTTAGCTGGTGGTGTTATTATTCGTCATTATCGTAAAGATCGTTCTAAAACTAATTGCTATCAGGATGATTTAACCTATCTATATACTATATTTAAAGAATATTTGATTCGTGGTCATCAAGATGATGGTCTTACTCAATCGAAAATAGAACAACAACGGAAACGATTACGTCGTAATCAAACTTCATATTTGGCTCAATTCCATCCATATAAGACGAACAATAAAACCAAAAATGATCAATGGCTGCCTACCTATGCAGTTTGCTATGAAATTCAAATGCAATCAAGCAGCACCATCGATCAGAATGATGATTCCGATACTAGCGAAAACGTTGTCCAGATATCATTTCGACCGATCACTCGACAATCATTTCTGGCCAATGCATTGGGAGCATTCAGCAAGACCATATTTGACGAAACAATTCGACGATGTGTAGCCATCGAATTGACCACCAATCCACAACATCGACTTGTGATGCGACCATGTCAAATGTCAATCACAAACAATCATCAGATTATTGATCGTCGAGTATTTTTGGTTGCAAAACATGGCTGGCTAGCCGTATTTCTTAATGGAAGTGAAGATGCCTATCTATTGACCGAAAACGAATATCTAGTGTTTGGTAGCCAATTAAAAGAATGGCCAATATTCTACGAACGTATTGTCGATACTAATCAAGCAAATCATGATATGACTGAAATGTTCTACAGACGTACCAATATTGTTCAGGATCAATATTCAGCCAATGGTATGATTGTTACTCGTGGTGTCATTCAAAATGAATACAAACCTGAATCGTTTACTTTGGTCGGTTTGGGCAATTCCATTGTCAACATGTCTTATTTGCAGCAATTGCTCACTTTAACCTCAACATCAACATCAACATCAACATCAACATCAACATCAACATCATCATCATCAACACCACAAAATGATCAAAAATAACGCAACAATTGAATCGATAATAAATGATATTAATGTTCATAATTATATAAATTGAAAAAAAATAAACACATTTTTGCAACACATTTTGCCTATTATAATTTAATAAAATAACCATTCATTCATTCATTCGTCTTCAGGTTCATCATAATCATCATCATCATCAGTATCATTTCGGTGGCGAGCATGATGATGATGATGATGATGATGGCCAGCATGATCATCTTCATCATCGTCATTATCATCATCATCATCATCATCATCATCAGTAGCAATCAAATCAGAATCGGATGCAGCTGAATCATCTTCTGGTTGTTGATCATCTTCTTCTTCGGACATTTCCCATTGTGGATGTGAAACAATTTCTTTTGGTGCTTCTTTAACATCCAACTATTTAACCACAAAGAGAAAGAGAAAAAAAGAAAGTCAAAAAAAAGAAAATCAAATCAAAATGTGTTTACCTTTAATGTTTTGAAATAATCCATATCGACATAGGAATCACATCGTACATTCACCATATATTGATATGATCCAGGTTCTTGTGGTGCCATAAATTTTAGCTCCACTTCTTCACGATTCACCAAATTTGTCATAAAGTATGGTATCGTTTTGAGTGACATCTTTTTCCGATCGGTTATATAAATCCACCAATGTTCTTGTTTATCTTCCGGATAATAAGGACAATGAACACTATGCGATATTTTCGATACAGCTTTGAATATCTCTTTTTTTGGTAGATTCTGTCTAACGATCGACCAATCATCTTCATCATCGTTTGATTGTGTTTTATTTGCAGCGTTATGCCTATTACTAACCGATTCTTCATTATCGTCTGGTTCACTTTCTTTGCTAGGTTTGTTGGTCGTCGTCGTCATTGGTTCTGATTCTCTTGCATCCGAATCCGAATCCGAACCAGAATTATCTCTTGAATGATTGTGCTGATGACTTTCTTTATCCGAACAATTTTCCGATGCATTTTCTTCAGATTGTTGTTGTTTTACTTGTTTGTTGGTGGTAACATCGGAACTTCCTCCTTTTTGTTGTTGTTGTTGTTGCGATCGTTGTTGATTTTGACGTTGTTGTCTTAACGGTTGTTTCTTTTTCGGTTTTGCTTTCTTTTTACTTTTCGATTGTTTTTCCCATGGTTTATTCTTTTTCACTGTCGAAGATTTATTTTCATCTTGTTCATCATGTTCAACAGTGGTGGCCAGTTCACCACTGGCAGGTGACAAGCTCGATTGAAGATGATTGTTTGAATGTGATGAAGAATTATTTTCATTGACCACTGGTGAACAATCTTCGAATAATTTTGACATTGGTTGTCGTGTAAGCTTAACAAATACAGTGACTAATGCACCAGCTGTAATAGTGGCCGTATCTTCATCGTCGATTACTTCGGAACGGACATCCACATCCAACAATGGCATTCGACCAAGAACATTCAACAAATCACAATACTGTTCATCACTCAATCTTGCCAACATTTGTCGACGATCTTCATTAGGCAGTGATGCTAATTGTTGCATGTTTCGTACATTACGGCGACGATTAACAAAATAACGTAACATATCATCAGTAATATGTGGTAATTGTAACATTGAATTTTTATTCGACCACATTGCCTGTACAGTCAAAGCATTCAATTTCATTGCATTTTCCATTGTTTCCAATGATGGACATCTTGCAATACGACGAGATAAATAAAGAAAAGTTAATTGTGAGCTACATTGTACGAATTCCTGTATTAAATAGGGAATTTTGGTAAGGATGTATTTTTTATCCTGTTCAGAAGCCATCGATGGTAATGGAATTCGTAACAAATGTGCATACATTAATGTTCGAGCTTTTAAACTATATTCAAAACACAATGGACGTTCTTTATTATTCATTGCCAGATTTGGAATCTGTTTCATTAGTTTCGGAATTTCAACATCATCGGTTGGTCGTTCTTGTATTTCACTATTGTTCGATTTATCAAATTCATATGATGCACAAATGACCATCAATACACGACGAAGCATCATTTGTGGACTTTTGTTTATGAAATACAGATATAATTGTGATGTATCAAGAAGCACTTTAAAATCGCCATATTTGGATGAATTTGACCACCATATTCGAACACAAACAGGCAATACGATCATCAACATCAACACATAGACCATTAATACGAACACTGAATTTTCTTTTTCAACAATCCATGATGGTAATGCAATGCCAAATGACATAGCACCCGGACCATCTGGATTACCATATTCTTCCCAATTTTTACGAGCTTGTTCATCGGTCAATGCAGCGTATGCTTTGGTAATTCGCATAAATTTCTTTTCATCACCGGTTTCTTTATCCGGATGATAGATCAACGATAGACGACGATAAGCTTTTTTGATTTCTGCACTCGATGATTGTGGATCGATACCTAATATTTCAAACGGATCGAAAGTAACATAATCGGGTTGAATTTCAGATACTTTATATGCAAATGCAATCAATCCAATCCAGGCAACAATTAATACTATTTTCGTTAAACGTTTACGAACTGTTTTCGATGGTTCTTTTAATTGCATATAATGTTCTTTAATAAGACAAGGCTCACAACGACATTTTTGTATGAAACGTTGTTTATATGGTGAATTATTATCAATCGATTCTGTTGATTGTGTTCGTTCATCACGATCATCTTTATCTTTGTCACGTGGCCAAAATAAATAGGTACATGGTACAATGATCATTGTTAGGAATGCCAAAACAAAATAATAGAATGTTGTTCCACTTTCATCATATTGGAATTTTGTACCAGCCATTTCTTATTAACTAAATGAATATTTTAAATGAAAACCAAGTTAAACTTCGAAACTACAAACATTCAATTCAAACTTACCTAACATAAAACTTAAATGGATGAATGAATGAATAAAAAGGATGAGTATCGTTTTGGTTCAATAAATTTCTTCAGCTGGTCACAGATGATAGCTGACTATTATTATTATATTTTCGATCTAATTGTTTAACCAAAACATTCGTAAAGATACTGTCAAAATGAAAAATATTTCGAATGAACGCGTGTACAAACGTAAAAAAACATTAACCAACCGCAATGACGACGACGACGAATACACGAGTGTGTTAAAAATGCATGCATACAGAGCAGAGGTAAAAGTACCGACGCGGCATAATACTGCTCTCACACATCAATCAACAACACGAAAAAAAAACACGGATCTTTTTTTTAATATTCATGAATTACCCACTAGCATCATCTGGTGTTTACCATTGGTAAATTTATTTTGACAATTCGAAAAATTATCATTCATGACGATAAAAATCTAACCAAATATCATTCAATGGTTTTATCAATTCAGCATGTGCTTCTACTTGAAGCAATCCGTTTGAATCGAGTGGATATGTTTGTCCGGGATTGAATTCGATTTGATAATCAATTACCAAACGAGTAATTATTGCTCTTATTTCGGCCATAGCTAATGATCCACCAATACAACTACGTTGACCAAGACCAAATGCTAAAAATTTTGGATCATTAACAGCCATCGATATTGTTGTTGGTAATCCATAACGATCTGGATCAAAACAATTTGGTTGTGACCATATTTCTGGATCATGATGAATAGTCCAAACAGGTACCTGTATAGCAACATCATTAGGTAAAGTTTTTGTTTGTGAATCTAATTCAAATTGATAAGTACTACATTCATTATTATCACTAGTTTCACGTAAAAGATAATCAATAACCGGTGGATAAAGACGCATTGATTCATAAATAATACGATCCAATAATTCCGAATTACTATTATCGGTATTTTGTAATTCAATCAATTCTTGTCGTAATCGATCTTGAATCTCTTTGTATCGAGCCAAATTGAACAGAACAAATGAAATGGCACAAGCAGTAGTTTCATAACCAGCCATCAAAATGACCAATAAATTACCAATCACTTCATCATGTGAAAGCGTATTTAGTTGATGATGATGATGAAGAACAAAATCCAAAAGATTTTTACGAACACCAATATTTTCCGAATCATTATCAATGTTTGAACAATGTTTTTGTTGTTGTTCATAACGATTGATTTGTTTTTGAAGATAACCGGTAAGATGATCAATAATCGGACCTGAACTAACATGATCGTTGATAAATTTCAATACATTTTTCATAAACGGAAATATCATTGCCGATCGAACTAAAACAGTATTACAATTGTGTGTAAAAAAATGTTCAACCATATTGAATAATGGTGATTGACGGAAAAAATCTTCATCATCAATTGCAAATGCATAATGACATATTGTATCCAATGTAAAACGTTTAGACATTTCATTAACATTTATCATTAATTTCCCATCACTATCATATGGTCGGATATAACCATTACATTTAGTGTCTGGTCTGTTTAGGATGGCCATCAAACGATTTACCGATTCGCCAATAATTCGTCCAGCTGAAACTGATGATTTTATTCTTGTTGCATTGAATGCCGGTGTTAATACACGACGAACTTGACGCCATCGATCATCTACTCAGATAGTTATTTAAATAAGTGAATACACTTTCGACTTTTGCACACTAACCTCTCAATGCTAAAATTGATGAACTAAATGGTTGTAATTGAATCATCATTTTAAAACGATTTGGAAATTGTCTTATACGTTGAATGAATATTTGTTTGATAAGTGAAATATTTTTCGTAACCAATACGGCTCGATCACCACGAATATATCCAAAAGTATGACCATATTGATCAAACCATTTATCCAATGATCGCCATTGATATTGTTTATCAATCAAACGAATATTACCAAATAAAAAATTTGGTTCAGGTCCTTGAATCGAAGCTTTTCGAAATACTTGCAACAATTGATATCTTTGATATGACCATTTTAATAACTTCCAGAGGACATATATAATAACCGACCACAGGAAATATGGTAATAACAAAAATGACCACCAATGCATGTTTTTTGAATAAAGACAAAACTGTCTTTGTTTGTGGACATCAACATCACACTGCTGCTGTTGTTTCACAGCAACAACCACACCGTAGTTCACCTTGAAATAGCCTTAACCTTGAACAAGTGAACTAAGAAGAAGAACAAAGAATAAATGGATGAATGAATTTATTTTTTAAAAAAGTTTTTTTTTTTGATTAACATCGATACATTGATTATTTGGTATGTTTATTGTCTAATGTTAATGTTTAATGTTCCAACGAAAAATAAAAACCAAATCAAAATTGAAATTGAAATTGAAATGAATAATAAGGGTGTATTTGGTGATGTGTATGAGGAATATATTTGACATTATTATTATTATTATTGTCATGCTTTGGTTATTATAAATTGGTTACTATTATTATTATTATTTTTTTCATTCAATTTTACATTCATCTAACCAATGGATGAAAAAGAAAAAGAGATAAACACTGTTATGGTATGTATAGCAGGATGAAGGATGATGATAATGATAATGATGATGATGATCAAATGACGAGTATGATTGCATTCCATAAATGGATCAAATGGATGAAGAAATGGGTTCCATTTTTTTTAATTGACATAAAATGTTGATGGTCGATTACGGGCAAAATTCAGAACCAAATATGGCATAAGTATGGCCAATAGTATAAGACAAGCACCGACCAAATTGATAACAATACCAGCATTAAGGAAAATATTGAAATCTTCGACTCGCATGTCACGATAATCGAATCGTCCAGGTTCGGTAAGCGATGGTCCAGCCAAACGTGAACGAGCTGTTTGTAAAAGACCAGCCAAACAGGCAGCAATTGCCAATACAAAAATCACTATACCAAATGTAATATGCGTCGGTAGGAATCGGGCTCTATATCCGGCAGTTGAACGATCACAACAGAGCAATACCAAAAATGTGACGAAACCAAACAAAAACTATAACAGGATAAAAAAGACAACACAAAATAGGTATTAATGATAGGTGAAGGGAACAACAACAACAACAACCAACTTACCTGAAGTGCGAACAAAGCACAGGCAGTCAAACCGATCCATGAATGAAGTGAATAAAAATGTTGAACTTGTTGATCCGGACTGGAAGCGATCGATTGAGCCTGAAAACCAATCAAAAATCCAAACGAAACCAAACCAATCGAAATGACAAAAAAGAAAGCATGTGCAATTTTGTTGTAAATCTTTTTACAGCACAAATATGTTTTGTAAATCAACATGGCTGTGTGGCCGGAAAGAAAAATCCAAAAAAAATATATATCAATCATTAAGTGTGAATATATTTTGTCGATTTTATTTAATTTTACTTACATTGTCCGTTGACAAAGATGAATCCGGTAAGCATAAGAAATGCATGCAAATTGTACATTTTACGTTTATCATTTTGATAGGCAAAACCTTTATCATATTTAAAAAACCAATAGACCAATGCAGCTACCGAACCGAATAAACCGATCTGTGCCAAAAGCCACAGTAGTCCATAAAGAAATTTCGAACAAGTTGATTGTGGATAGAGATCGTAATCATCATCATCATCGTCAATATTATTGATCGATGTTTTTGGGCCACCATAGCCACCACCACCACCACCATCGATTGCCAATGAAGAATTGGAACGATGTTGATGTTTATTATTAGCTGATGCCATTCTTTGATTGTTTGATGATTGAGAATTTAATGATTGTTTTGAACCACCGTTCAATTTACTATGAATTCCTAATGAAGAAAAAAGTGATTGTTGATGTTTACTTTGTTGTTGCTGTTGTTGTTGTTGATATTGGTCGCGAGCAGATGGAACCTGTTGTTGAACGGTAGATTGTTGTACCGAGTTGATTATAGTTGATGTTGGTCGTGCTGATGATGATGAACTAGTTGTGAATGTTGTTGGTTGACTTGCCGAATGATAAAAATGATTACGATCGGTCAAATAATTACGATATGGTTGGCTATGAATAATACCAGGTGTAGTTGATGCGGCTGCTGTATATGTATTCGAAGTGGAAGTTGTTGTTGTATATGATGTTGTATTGGTTGCGTAATGATATGAACTTGAACTAGAAACTATTGTTTTTCCTTGACCAATACCACCGGATGATGATGATGTTTGACGATAATAATCATTAGTATTACTGCTTTGCGATGACGACATTATTAGATGTATTGATTTGACGATTAAAAGATGGCAATATTTGGATTAGAATCTCGAATGGAAAATCTTAGAAAGCACCGGATCAGATAGATGGAGAGAGAGACAGAGATAGATAGAGATAGAGAGAGAGTTGGTGTTATTTCAATCAACCGAAATTTATTGGAAACAACATTTTAAATGAATATAGATTGGCTGATTGAATGAAGGGTTAAATAAAATAGGCAAAAAGGTAGGTGATAGGATGCACTTTTATCCAATTGAACTGTTTGGAACAACAACAGACAATCAATCAATCAATTTTTTTGGAATTTGAAACAAAAAAACTAAAACTAAAAAACTAAATTCAAGGCGCCAAAACTAATTTTTTTTTGGTTTGAAACTATGATCATGCAATGGTGGTTGCGTCGTATTCAGCATTTACATATACAGCATAAAGATAGGTAGTACAAAAAAAAAAAAAATATCAAAGGGAGAGTCCGGATGATTAGTATAATATATAATGGCCAATGGCCAACCACTTGTTTTTAAACATTGAAACACGACGTTTATTGAAAACAAAAAATGCTTGACTAACTGAAATGAAATTTATTTTGTTGGTGGCTTGTTTTTGATTCGATTGGTTCAATCCTATCGTCGACAATAACACTATGTATAATCATCACTGAAAGTTTGAAACGGCGACGACGACGACAACAAGGCGTCAACTATGGCTAGAAAAAAAACTAGTTGATGCATCAACACACACACATCTCACCATCATTACCACCACTATTATCATCATCATCATAATAATCATAATTACGGTTCTCTTGCTACCAAACCAATAATGGATACTAGTTTTTTTTACCATTATCATCATTCAAAAGAAACAACACCATCATTATTTATCAGTGAGAGAGAGAGAGAGAGAGAGAATGTATGTTGCCAGATTCGGTACAATCGGTTATATAATCATCACCCTGAATAGAGAAAGAGAGAGAGAGAGAAAGAATGGTGCAGGTCACTGGCATTATCTTCTATGTTTGTGTGTGTGACCAATAGAGTGAAGAAAAAAAAGAACCAGTTGACAACAATAATACCTTAACCAGCGAAAGGATTGACTAAAAACATATAGGTCAACAACAACACATCCTACAACAACAACAAGGAAGTTTCTTTTTTTTTGTGTGCCAAAAAAAAAAACATTCCACATAAAAATGTTCAATTGATATTGATCATTGAATCGATTTAAAATAATCAAATAAAATGCTTCAAGGACATTTCAATTATCCATTATCCATTAGCCAATTTGAACACATAGAAAACGGATAGACATACAGACAAAACAGAACAAAAAATAATTATTGTTTGCATCAATCCAACAACAATAATGATGAAAAAAAAGAGAGAGGTGTTGGAATGAGATTTGAAGGACAAATCTCATCGATTATTTTCATTGACACAAAACACAAACACATAGAGAATGTTTCGGTTATAATCATCATTACTGACCATCATCATCAGCTATGTAAGCCGAACCGTATAGACAGAATTTTCTTCTTCTTTTTTTTTTTTTGGTTGTCCGAATGACCAAGTGATCTGCATGACAATCATACATACATATGATGATGATAATCATGATGATCATGGCCGATATGCAACAACAACAACAACAACAATAATAAACAAACAAACAAGAAAAGAGTTAGACGGGCACTAATTCAAGGTAAACCTGTTCACCTGTCTATTGTTGTTGTTGTTGTTTTTGTGTGTTTTGCTGTTTGTATTTGATTAAATAGCAGTCATGTGCCATTTAATCAAACACACGTGTGGATGTGATGTGTTGTTGAAAATATTCACGATCAACACGACTTTGTTATTTACCACCCTCTCTCACTCTTCATTATAGGTTCGTGAATAAAGAAAAGAATTGCAAAAAAATTCTTAACTCATTAATCATGATCAATCTTAGGGGCTAATTAATTTCGCATCAATGTTTGGCCGCTAAAAAAACCTTTATATTAAAAATTATTCATTGGATAATGAATGAATGATGATCATGTTAATATGAAATTTATATTTATGGAACAAGGTTATGTTGTTGATGATGATGATCATGATGATTAAATGATGCAAAACAACAAAACAAACAAACAAACAAACATCTATCCCCATCAAAAAAACGCATAACCAGTGATGTGATTTATTTAATTTTTTTTTTTACTTTTGAAATGAATGCAATAACGCCTCCACACCACCAAAAAAAAAAACACCACATAACTATTTGGTTATCAACAAAATAGAAATATGCAAAAAAAAAGAAAAAAAAAATGTAAATAGCCATCATCGTTACGGATGAAAAGAAGAACAAAAACATCAACAATCGTGATGAATGTTTAATGTCATCGATTGTATAATATATTTATTATTGATTGATGAAATGAAAAAAAGCAAACTAAACGAAACAAAAAACTAGAAAGTTTGCATCATCACATCACCACCATCTGCATATATGTCATTCTATTGTGTATCATTTTTTTTGTGAATTGTTCGAGATTTGATGATGATGATCTATCTATCCAAAAATCAATGCAAACAATTTTCACATATAGTGCATCATATAACACAAAGATCCATAGGGCTCTTTTTTTTACATCATTTCAGCACCAGATATACACACACTGAAGCAATAGAAGTAAAAATATCTTGAAAATTGGCATTTTTAAGATTTTTTTTTTGTTTGGCAACAATTTACACAACTCGTTTTTTTTTTGGTGGCCATTTTTTTTCTATCTATCCATTCATTCATTCATTAACAATCAACAAGTCTTCGAGAGAAAGAGATTATGGATTAAATCAAGGCCATATATATAAAATGAGATTCCACTTCCCCAAACAACAACTGAAAATCCATTATGATGATGATGAATTTGGCTCACTATCAGCTATTCACATCAACCATTCATTCATTATCACAATATCTGAACAAACCGGTTGATTATGATCATCATCATCATCAAAATACCCTATACAAAGGTTAAATGATGATGATAATGATAATAGAAAGATGACCGAGGTCATTGATGGCAATGGCAAAGGTTAAATATCTAAATGGAAGTTTTTTTTTCTGTTTTCCTTCTTTCTTTCTCTATAAAAAAAGGTTCAATGAATCTAAACAACAACAAGGATTTTGTTTTTTTTGTGTTTGGCAGGCCATTTTCATGGCCAGATACACACACACTTGTAAACTGTTAAATATCAACTAAAAATTCAAAAATTTAAATGTTTCTGGCAAAAAAACATATTATACAATTTCTGGTCATTCTCAATGCACACACACCAACCAAACAAATAAACAAAGTGATTCTAAATTTAGAATATTTAAATGTGTGTGTTTACTATGGTAAAATTATGGTAAAATTGCACTTGATCCAAAGCAGGCTTGTTTTTAAATTAATTATTTACATCATTTATTTGAATATAATACACATGTATTGGACAAACGGAAACAGGATTATCATTGTTATGATTATGATTAAAGGACATCTAAGCAAGGAAACTAATTACATACCATGCATAAAGCAGAAAAAAAACAATACTTACCAAAAGAGTTTTAACAGATCAGAAAAACACAAACGAAAAAACACAAATTCAGATCAATTTAGTCGAAAGAAATTAGCCATTTAATGTCTATTGATTTGATTATCACTTTTTTTTGCAATGTGAATGTGAATATTAGGTGATGGTCGTTTCCAAGGATTCAAAATTGGATAACATTTAAAACCAGAAAAAAAAAATAAACTCAAAACAAAAAACACAGAATCCATTAACTAGCACAGCACAGAACATGAAAATGAAGACCACTTGGTTACTCTTGGATACCGTGAACGGACAAAAAATTTTCTCGATGAAAAAAATTTCTTGATGAAAACAAATCAAACAAACATTTAAACAACAGGAATTTAAATGGCTGGACGCAAACTCGGTTTGTTTTTGTTTTTTGAAAAGGTTCTCACAATTGATTGATTGATTGACAAGTTTTTGATCTACTTTATCGGATTAATAATCGTTATTATTTTGCCTGGAAAAAAATAAAACACTTTTTTTATTGATTATTATTAGTTCACACAGGTCATACATACGCAATTCACTTTCACAATCGATCAATCGATGTATATTGAAAAAAAAAGAATTCAACACAAAAACAAAAACAACAGGTTGACGTCAAACGATGTGAAACCCTCTTGTCATCTCTTTTTTTGGTTTGATTTGGTTGCGCTTCGTTTACTTCTTACATCGAATAAACATTACGACGAGTTCTTTTCTTTGAATAACATTTTGAAACATTCGATTCGGATGATGGCGCCAATATGATCGAAGAGCGAGAGAGGATAGCATCGAAGTATATTGTGGTTGGTTCGTTTATTATCAATCGTCGACTTTGCTTCTCTTTCTCTCTCTTCTTACCATATACCAAAGGAAGCAGCAATCAAGTTCTCTTCTTATGAACTTTTATGGTTATGATATTTGGATAGGATTTTTTGATGGATCTATCCATCCATCTATCTATCCACACTATTAAAAAGCTAACGGACATTTCGCTGTTGTTGATTATGTAATGAATGAAAATATATAACCAGCAAACAAGCGGGAGGATAGACCATCTTGTTGTTGTTGTTGTTGTTTTAGTTAGTTTCGAATATTTTCAAATTCGACCAAGCGCGACTATTTCTACTTCTCCCTCCTTATATGTTCCTCGACAGAAACAAAAAAAAATAGTTATTTTGTGGAAAATTTTAACCCACCGAAGGCATTCTTTTGATCACGTGAACGTGAACGAAAAATTTAATGATGATGATCATCATCATTGATGATTATGATGGGAATTCAAAATGAGTTTTGAATAATGGGACGCCAACCCAACCAAACAACAACAAGTGAGTTACCTTTTATAAAGCACCTTTATAATTATTCGACTAATGGATATTATTGTTATTATCTCCATGTGCGTGTGTCCTGCCAAAAAAAAACATACCAAACCATTATAGGTAGTTAGTCGTCTTCTTCTTCATTTTTTCGTTTTGGTTGGCGCCATTTGGAAAACCAGCTTCTGGCATTTGGAAAACCTTTCCTCACCCCCCCATTCGAGAGAAAAATAAAATCACATTATATCCACTGCAGTATTGTTTTGTCAAAACAAAACAAAACAGAAAAAACAGAAGCTGAACCATTTTATCAGTCGCTATTGACAACTTTTTCATCATCATCATCATCGTTATAGTCGTTATTTGTCATCAGCATACACCCAGTCACATATCGACTATGGTTAAAGATTGGTTTTTTTTTGATAAGTCATTACTCCTGCAACCATCTGGAACCACTATTTATTCATTCATTCAGGGAAACAAACAAAATTCATCATCATCCAGTTTATTAATGGATTGATGCAAGATAGAGAAGAGTTTTATTCATGTCATGTCAATTTCCATATGATAATGGTCTATAATTACATAGTTTGTTCATATATCGTTATTATTGATTATGAACAACATTGAAATTGCTTACATTTGCTCATATCATTGATAACTGTGACATAATTGTTACCACAAACAAACAAACAGCTTGATGATGATGATTGCATCAATAAATTTGACCATAATAAACAAAAATCGATAAACAAACAAACAAACATCCTTCTTTTTCGTTCTTTTTTTTCATTAAATTTTCATTGTAATTTGACTATTTCTACTCATCTTGTTGATCGATCGTTCGATCGAACGATCGATTTGTCAACAAACAAACAAACAAAAAATGGACAGGAACAAGTTTTCCCAACTCCACCAACCATTTTCTGAGTTTTTGTAAAAATAGACACTAAAATCGAACCTGAAAATATCTGCGTTGTTGACATACTTATTCGATGATATTTACCTGAATGATTTAGACTGACAATTTTTTTTTTGTTCACATCATTATTTGATAATCAGAAAATGAAAATCGAAACTGACCTTAATCTTTACTTCTTCTTCTACTTTTATATTGGTAATTGAAAATAACCGAAATGTCATCATTGATAAAATGATTGACCAGAAAAACGTTTTTTTTTTTGAAAAAAAAGTTACTAAATTTAACTAATTATGGCCATAACTGACCATAACTGATGACATAATTAGATCTTCCTCTTATTTTCCTCTTATTTTTTTTTGCCGGATAACTGCTGCCAGCTAGTGACAGATATCGATAATTCAAAGTTAGGTTAGGTTAATTCGTTCGTTAATTTTTTTTTTCGCTTAAATATTGTTTTCCCTTAAATTTGGCTTCGAAGCAAAGCGCCGGCATGAATGCAAATCAATTTTGAAATTCAAAAAAATTTTATTTTTATTTTTTATTTAATTAAAATGATATTACATAATGGATAAATAAAAGATTAATTTCGTCGTTTACGAACACGTGAAATACGCCATGAATTTGGTTCTTCATATTTATTATATAATGGTTCTAATCGTAATTGTTTTTTATGTTTAGATAATTTAGATGGATCAGAAAAACGAAAAAATGTTGGTGCAAATTCAACTAACCATCGTGGATCAATAGTTGTTACTTCACGCATATATTCTTTTGTTGTTAAAACAATTTCATGATAAATAACCCATTCAGGTTGTTGATGAAATAATGCTGATGATGGATGAATATAAACCACTTGACCATCAACCAATGTACGATATCCTTCTTGTGGATCTTTTTTCGATGTATTACGGAAAAAACCCGAACAAATTGCTTTCTGTAGTTTGGCCGTATTTTTACCACATGATATAACATCTAAACGATGACGATCCATAATACCTAGTAATTGTTTTCGTACATCTTGTGTTCGTTTTAATGTACGAACTTGAACAAAATTTTCATAACACCAAGCAGTTGACAATTTATTATTTTTCCATGCATTATAAACGGCTAATAATGTTAGATGATCACCTTCAGGTTGATTAAATTTTGCTTTTTTTGAATCAGCCAATGCTTGTTTATCTTTTGGACGATAGAAAACATTTTGTACGGATAACATTGATACAACTGTTAATGCTTCTTCCGAACAGCCTAATTGTACTGATTGTAATAATACTTTACATAAACGTGGTTCTAATGGAAATTCAGCCATACGTCTACCTAATCTTGTTAGTAGACCTTCATCATCTAATGCACCTAATGAATGTAATTGTTCTAATGCCATTAATAATGCTTCAGCTGGTGGTGCATCCATAAAATCAAAATTAATTAAATCATTAATACCCATTGCTTTTAGTTGTAAAACAGTTTCCGAAAGATTTGTACGTTGTATTTCTGGTACAGGTGTTGTAAGCATTTCATCACGATATGCACGTTCAGTATATAGACGAAAACATTTACCCGGTCCAGTACGACCTGCACGACCAGCACGTTGTTTAGCTTGTGCTTGTGAAATCGGTGTTACAACCAATGAATCCATACCAGTTTTTGGATTATAAACATTTTGTTTAACAAAACCCGGATCAACAACATAATAAATACCATCAATTGTTAATGATGTTTCAGCAATATTTGTAGCAATAACAACTTTTCTTGATCCAGGTGGTGTTGGTTCAAATATTCGGGTTTGCATTTCCGAAGGTAATGCTGAATAAACTGGTAATATTAATAATTCCGGTACATCAGGACCAAGACATTTCATACGTTCATAAAGAACTTCACATGCAGTATCAATTTCTTCCTGACCGGTAAGAAATAACAGTATATCACCCGGTGGTTCAGTTAAATGAATTTGCATAACAGTTAATAATGATGCATCCATATAATCAGTTTCAGGATCTTTTGTATATAATATTTCAACTGGAAATGTTCGACCAGGTATTGTAAAAATAGGTGCTTCAAAAAAATATTGTGAAAATTTTACAGCATCCAATGTTGCCGATGTAACAATTAATTTTAAATCTGGTCGTTTTTTTACTGCTTTTTTCAATAAACCAAATAGAACATCCGTATGTATAGTACGTTCATGTGCTTCATCCAACATCAATACTGAATAACCACGCAGATCTGCATCCAAAAGACATTCACGAAGTAACATACCGTCGGTCATATATTTAATAACTGTTTCTGGACTTGTACAATCTTCAAAACGAATCGTATAACCAACTTCACAACCTAAACGACAACCAAATTCATCAGCAACACGTTTTGCAACGGACATTGCTGCAACACGACGTGGTTGTGTACAACCAATTTTACCACGTGTTACATAACCAGCTTCAGCTAAATATTGTGTAATCTGGGTAGTTTTTCCCGATCCAGTTTCACCAATAACAATCAATATTTGATTATCACCAACAGCTTTACATAATTCATCTTTAAAATGATAGATTGGTAAACTTTGTCGTTGTTCCATCAAACTTAATTCAGTACGTTTACCATACGATGCTTTTGCACCGCCAGTAATAAATCGTTTCCATTCGGGCATTTCGTTAGGCATTCCACTAGTAGTATTACCGATACCGCCACTATTACTACTCCAACCAGCTCCAATTGTTTCAGGTGTAGGATTTTGTGGCATTGGATCAAACCAATCTTTCGAATCTTCTGGTCGACTTTTATTCATTTCCGATTGTTGTTGTTGTTGTTTTAATTCACGTCGTTCTTTTGATAATGCTGATTGCATCATTGCAGCCTGTGCTAATGATCCATCAGGATTTTTAACAATTCTAACCGGATCTAAATCTGTAAGATGTGATCGACCATGTCCACGAAGAAATGATGGTTCTTCTTCCACTAATTCAATTTCAATATCTTCATCATCATCTTCATCGATTCTTGGTAGTACACCTAATTTTTCATCAAAATCTGGTAATTGGGAACGATCCAAAACATTTGCAGCAGCCATTTGTTTTAATTCCCATTTTTCGGGTGAACTAATTCGTTGTATAATACGACGACGAGTTTCAGAATCTTCTACAGAATCATCATCGATTTTAGATTGGACACTGCTACCCGGTAATGGTGGTAGATTTGAAGGTCGATCAGGATTTTTAAATTCCGATAAATCATCATCATTATCATCACCAACACCTTTACTACGAGATCCATGTTGATGATTGATTGGATTTAAATCTTTACCAGTTTGTTGATCAACTTCTTTCATTGATAAACTTGTTCGTTGACCAGTAAATGATAATACTTTTACTTTGACATTTTGTCCACGGCTGACCACTTCATTAACATCATTAACACGACCTTCACGACGTAATTGTGATATATGCACTAAACCTTCCCATCGTTTACGTAAACCTTCAAGCTGAACAAAACAACCAAATTGCATAATGTTCGAAACACGACCATTCAATATCATTCCTACAGCCGGTACTTCAGGTAGATCTTCATATTTTGTTCGTTTACTATGTGAAGATCGTCGATTATCATCATTATCATCATAATCATCACCATGATGGGATCGTCTTTTTGATTCGGAATGTCTTGATCGATGTTTTTCATATTCATCATCATCGGATTTGTAACGATGATGTCGTTCTCGACTGCGACTTCTTCGATGGCGACGATCTCTATCTCTATCTCGATCACGATCTCGTCTTCGGGAATCAGAATCATCATGTCGACGATGACTACGTTTTTTATCGCTCACATCTCGATCATTTTCTTTTCGTCGTTGTTTATGTTTATCATCCTTATCATCATCATTATCACTAGTTTGTTTATTTTTCTCTGATAATTGTTCCAATAATTTCATTGTATCATCAATATCTTCAAGATTTTCTTTTTCTACTACTTCTTCGTCGTCGGATTTTTGGCTCAATTCTTGATCAGGCAACGCTAAACATGGATAAAGAGCACGTTTCATTTCTTTATCATCTTTTTTTCGATCATCATTTTTGTCATCATCATCATCATCGAGATCAACATTTTTTGATTTTTTCTTCGGTCGCATATGTTGAATAATACGAAGAAGATTGGCAATAAATGAATCAGTAAATTGAGCTTGATTTGCTATCAATGCCGTTTTGAATGAATCAAATGTAGAATTTTCATCAGCCAAATCGATTATAAATTCGGCCATATCTTTATCGTTGAAACCTAAATGATTTTCCAATTCGGTACAAACTTTCGAAACTAAAGAAAGATATTGTAGTTTGTCTAATTCGTCCATTGTTTGTTTGGATGATTAAATTCAGATCGGCCAAAAAACAAAAAACAAAAAGTTCAAAACATTGCTGCGTGAATTGTACCGTGTATAAATTTGGCAATCTTTATTCATGAATAACGTGTTGCAAACATGGTTCGAGAAATTTCTCATTTTGTTTCACATGTTAAATCATCTAATCTTTCAAATTGTTTGATAATCCAAAGAAAATATGGCAAATCCATTACAATGTTATAATATTTCATGTGGTCAAACTTATCTGGAAAATGAAAATAATGATCTAGCATGTCAATATCATCCAGGTCGACCATATTTTCATGATGGTTATAAAGAATGGACCTGTTGTAAGATGCGTTCAAGAGATTTTTCCGTATTCATGGGTTACAAAGGATGTAAGTATTTGAATCGATTCTCGTTCTTGTATCATTAACATTGTGATTATTTATAGGCACAAAAGGACGACATTCAAATGTGAAACCTGAAGAACCAGCCAAACCGACTGACAACAACGAGTCAACGGAATCGGTAACAATCCAACAAAATGATGAAAATAAAAAACCAAAAGAACCGATCGAACCATTTATTCCACCGGATGCTAATCACGAACAAGAATTGGAAATATTCGAATCATCTAATGTAGCTTCAGCTCCACCAGTTCCAAAGGCAATTATAATATGTAAGAATTGTAAAAATGAAGAATCAACATTAAACATGGCTGGTCCATGTCATTATCATAAAGGAGTTCAAATGTAAGTGTGTCGATCTTATTTGTATTTTTTATTTGATGAAATTTTTCTCAATAAAATAGTTTCCATGATGCCTATAAATATTGGAGCTGTTGTCATCATAAAAAATTTTCGGATTTTGAAGATTTTCAAAAATTACCACCATGTTCTCGAGCAGATCAACATATATTGATAGCAAAAATTGAATATAAAGAAAATTGGTTTCAAACACCCGGTACAATCACTATAGCTTTATATGGTTTAAAAGGTGCACGTCAAGAATCACAAGATGGAAAAATTCGTTCCAAGGTTTTAATTCGTGGTGGTCGACATTTGTTTGTTCGTTTGATCAATCATGAAGGATTGATTATTTTCGAAAAAGAATGGACATTAAGAGATTATGTCCGCAATGAAGGTAATAAAGTTATTATAAACGTTTCAAATGTACAGATAACATTGAAAAAATCGAATGAAAATTATCATTGGCCTAAATTGATTGTTGATTAAATTTGAAAAAAAAAATTTTATTTTTATTTTATTTTATTCAATATGAATTAGTAAATGATTGTAATTGTTGTTGAATACTTGAAGCTCTATTTTTACTTTTATCATCCATAAAACATGCAATAAACAATTTAATTGCGCTAGCAAAATTATCTTTTTTCGGTATTTTTTCCAATATCATTTTAACAATCGAATCATTCGATTGATTGAAAATAAATTGAAAAATATTACGTATAAATTCAACATACATTTCATTCATATCGGAAAATTCGATTACTTTCAAACAGGTAATCGAAAGGCAATTATTTATCAATAAATGACACATTAGTTGTTGTAATCGTAAACGATTATTTGTTGATAATGATTGTAAATCAGTTATTTTATCACGTATAGCAAAATCTAATGCTAATCGATATTTTCTATCCAATTTGATTAAATGTTGCAGAAGGTAAAAATAAAATTGATTAAAACATTTTTCATTGATAGCAACATGTAATATAACATTGATTATTTCGGCTGGTTGTTTTCTTCCAATTGATATAAGTTTACCGGCTGCATCTAAATAATCACAACAGGTAAATATTGCCGAAAATAATTGCCGCCGTAACGGTGTATTCAATCGTAATGTACGACATAATCGATCTAGTTTATTCGAATCGATTGTTTCATTCAAAATTGTTGTTGTTGTTGTCGCCGTTGATGATGATGATGTTTGTTGCAAATCACTACCTTTAATCGATTCCAATGGAATAATCTGTTTAGTATAGGAAAACCAATGTGAACTTTGTAATATGGTTGAATATTGGCCAGGTATCGAAGGTACTCGTGGTTTTTTAATCACAGATTTCAACGTTGTTTCAATCAAATCAGTCATAACAACAGTTTCGTTTGTTTTGATTTTAGACATATTATTATTTTTGATGGCAACCAATGATTCAAGAATAAATTTTACACGATTACCAGAATCCACCATTTGTTCGCTCAAAAAATCATGACTTAATGTTTGTATACGAAGAATAAGTGATTTCATTTTAGCTGGATCTTCTTTTCGTAATAGAAAACCAGATGTTTTAAGAATTGAATCAATAATTTCGATAGATTTTTCATTGTCAAGTTTGTCTAAAAATTTATCAATTATATCATAGATTAATTGATGATCAATAAGACCGGTTGTATGAATGTTAAGCAAAAGTATAAGAATATTATTCAATCGTTTATTGGATACATTCCAAGCGGTTACATCTGTGAAAGCGGCATCGAATCGACAGACCAAAGAATGAATGAAATAGCCGCCAATATCATCGCTCATCTCAAAATTCAGAATGGCAATCAACATTGCCAATTCGGCAAACAATTTTGCCGGTAAGCTATGTTCACATTGGATAATAATTTTATCCAAACAATTCATTATTCCTTTGTTGATTATATGACGACTGTGGCTACTATTCAGTTTGATTATATCATTACTTATAACTCTTATGTTTGATGATGTAAGTCGATTAAGAAGACCACGTAATTTTCGTTGAACATTATCATCGACAACCACATTCGAAATGAATTTCTCTTTTTCAGCTTCGTCCATTCGATTATTCTGTTCCTGAACAATGTTTCCATGTTTATCACGTAGAAAACCATAGATATCTTCACGAAGTTCATCATTGGTTTCGCTTTCTTCAGGTTTTTTTTCTTCACTGTCTTCTTCGTCTTCACATTCTAATTCGTTTTCACTTTCTTCTGATTCTTCCTTTTCTTCATCTGATGATGATGATGGTTCGATATCATGATCTTCGAGTTGTTGAACATTACTACTATCTTCTTCTGCTTCTTCACCATCATCATTTTCATTTCGACCATTACAGAATTCGATCAAATCGGCCAAACCATCCAAATAAAATGATTTGGGTAATTTATTTCGTTTGGTATAACTTCGAAGTTTCAATAGTTTTTCATATCGTTTGATTTCTTTTTCTTCTTCACGTATTAAACGTCGTTGATGTGCGATAAGTGCCGAAGATTTTACATTACTTGGTGGTCGTTTCTTTTTCTTCTTTTTCTCTTTNGACAGACCAAAGAATGAATGAAATAGCCGCCAATATCATCGCTCATCTCAAAATTCAGAATGGCAATCAACATTGCCAATTCGGCAAACAATTTTGCCGGTAAGCTATGTTCACATTGGATAATAATTTTATCCAAACAATTCATTATTCCTTTGTTGATTACATGACGACTGTGGCTACTATTCAGTTTGATTATATCGTTACTTATAACTCTTATGTTCGATGATGTAAGTCGATTAAGAAGACCACGTAATTTTCGCTGAACATTATCATCGACCACAACATTCGAAATGAATTTCTCTTTCTCAGCTTCGTCCATTCGATTATTCTGTTGCTGAACAATGTTTCCATGTTTATCACGTAGAAAACCATAAATATCTTCACGAAGTTCATCATTGGTTTCGCTTTCTTCAGGCTTTTTTTCTTCACTCTCTTCTTCGTCTTCACATTCTAATTCATTTTCACTTGATTCATTTTCTTCTGATTCTTCATCTGATGATGATGATGGTTCAATATCATGATCTTCGAGTTGTTGAACATTACTACTATCTTCTTCTTCACCGTCATCATTTTCATTCCGGCCGTTACAGAATTCGATCAAATCGGCCAAACCATCCAAATAAAATGATTTTGGCAATTTATTTCGTTTAGTATAGCTTCGAAGTTTCAATAGTTTTTCATATCGTTTGATTTCTTTTTCTTCTTCACGTATTAAACGTCGTTGATGTGCGATAAGTGCCGAAGATTTTACATTACTTGGTGGTCGTTTCTTTTTCTTCTTTTTCTCTTTTACTATTTTATTTTGGCTAGATTCATGATGTAAAATATCTTCTTCAATGGGTTTCGTACTTCGATGTTGATAATAAAGATTTTTACGTTTCTTTTTTTCTTGTCGTTGAATTCGGCGTTGTTTTTTACGATCCATTTTTCAACAAAAACCATCAGCTGAATTCGAGCACGTGTTTAGACAACTGATCATTGTTAGATGGCGTTACTGTTTTTGTCTATTTTGATTTGAGAAAAAAATGAAAACATTTTGTTCGATCGATATCGAAAGACACGAACAAGATGATCATCCAAAGTTATTGTCGATTTATATTTGTTCGAAAAATTTCCATCAATAACAATCCTTTACGATTATTATCTTCGAAAGGTAAATTTTTTGATGATTCAGATGAAAAAACCAAACAAACAAAACAAGCGATAAGCGATTTGAAAGCCAAACAATTGTATCCCGAATATGAACAAACTGAATATGGAATTGTTTATGATAGAAAACCATTCAAATATCAATGCATCGCTGGAAAAGCATATTTTTGGTGTAGTTGTGGCCATAGTCATAAACAGGTAAGTTAACTTGAATAAAATTTCACTGATTTTAAAACGATTTTTGTTGTTGTTTGAATAGCCATTCTGTGATGGAACACATCGTAATGAACATTTAAAAATTAAATTAAAACCATTACGATGGGATTGTAACGAAACAAAAGAATATTGGTTTTGTAATTGTAAACAAACAAAACATCCACCATTTTGTGATGGTACTCATCGACAGAAATCTATACAGGATGGTCCATCAACTATACGTGATCATCATTCACCACCATTAGTAATTGAAAAAATTAAAAAGAAATAGCAAAGATAATCAAAAAAAAAAAATCATTCATTCAGACATTTATTTTCTAAAGAATATTATTACAAGAAAACATTCGATCTGTAGGGTTTTTTTTGTTGTATCACTAAATACTACTAGCATTTGAAAAGAATAAAATATTGCAACTAAAATGTCGGCTTGTTTGTTTGTATTGATCACACACAGCAAAATTTTTTTATTATTATTCTCATCTTGAATTCATCATCTTTTTTGTTTGTGATGAGCACTGACATTGAATTATTTTTTTTTTGATCTGTACATTTTTGAAAAAAATGAAATGAAATGAAATGTCTTTGAATGAATGTATGTTGATCTGTGGCCAATAATATGGATAATTGATGGATGTGATGATGGTTATGGTTTTGGTCGAAATGAGCCAATCTTTTTTTTTCATCTATGCGTAGCTACTGTGCAGAAATAATGTTGATGAAATATGATGTGAATGGTGGACTATTGAATCACTTTAGTGATAAATTCACAAAAACGTTTGGCATATTGTTCTGGATGGACTGTTGATATTTCAGCCGTCGTTCCATGTTTAACCGTTTTGGCTGCTAATGCCGTACGTTTACGAATACCGAATTGTGTAAGAATATCGACTATGCCGATAAAATAGATTTCTCGCCTTGGCGATTCTAAATTGATTAAAAATCAGACAATATTAATTTGATCATTGATGAAAAAATTCAAACAAACCTTTGGTAGCAATGACAGCATAAATGTCCCTGGATGGATCGATAGCATTCTCACTGGAATAAATAAGAAAATTGTCCGAATCGGCCGACATTTTTGGTTGTGATTGAGATTCCGGTGAATCAGGAGGTGAAAGCATCGAATTTGGTCCTTGATCTTGGCAACAATTATCACCACTTGTTTCGGCTTCTTCGTCTTCAGCACTGAATTGCGATGTGAGGCCATCGGCTTGACGTTGTTGTGCTTCTTGTTCGGCTCGTTCACAATCATGAATAGCAACACAAAGCGAATAGTCCATGATGTTCTTTCTCATCAAAAACGTAGTGTCTGCTTCAAGCATTTCGAAGAATTTCTTTTTCCATTCTTCATCAGCATATATTCGGACACCATCTCGAGTAAAATCATTATCCTTGTAAATGGGAACATCAAGTGTTTTATCTTTTTCGCTTGCTTCACGATCGACAGTCGAGCCTTTGAGATCATAGATTCGGTGAACATTGATAAATTGTGATGAACAAATGTTTCGCATTACACATATATAGGTTTCCGCACCATCAACAGTAATACGATACATGCCTAAATATTGTGGCAATAATGTTTTACCATGTCTTTCCACTATGTATGGATGATATTCTTTTAATAGATGATGCATTGATTCTACTTCTTCAGTGGTCAATATTTTCAACAAAAATAATCGATCATATGATTCATAAAATTTTGTACTTGTTTTACCCGATACAAGATGTTCACGTGGTTGATGTTTAGTCAATGAATTCATATAATCAACATCGTCAATATGAAATCGTTCACGTAGATTTTGAAAGACGAGTGGACAATATTCTTTTACTTTAAAATGTGAAGGCATATTTTCCTTATTAAAACAATGATTATCAATTTTTACTTTGGTATATGCTTTAAAATCATCGGGCATTAACATTACTGGTGTGTTTACATGTGTTAATTCATTGATTGTATGATTAATACCCCACATAAATACCGAAAACAATGGTTCAGATGCACGAAATAATTTTGCTTTCTGATGTTTTGGTTTGAAACGTTTTGTTTTTACTTTCATTGGTTTCATTGTTGAATGATTTGATGACATTTTTTCAAACAAAAATAATATTGGTTTTCAATTTAAAAGACTAGAAAAACTTTATTGATTAGGTACACCACCATCCAACACAACGAACGAAAGAAAAAATCGATCGATTCTTGATTCAAAGTCGTTTTATAATTTTGCAATTAAAGTTGACTGGTAATGTGAGAAGAGAAAAAAGAAAAACAAACAAACAAAGATTATATAATTAACATATTGTCTGATTGAATTGGTTTTTCAATTTTACTGTTTTTTTTTCTGTTTCACTGTGTTTTGATATAATAATTATACTAAAATGCAATTCATCTATATCTGATTGCTCATTGTCTATTTTAGGGTGTTCAAACTATCTATCTATATGGTTTATTATTATATAGATTTAATCTATCCAACGCAGATTCAAACGTACGTCTATTTAAGTGAACACTATTGAAGAATTTTTTGGGGCCCTATCCACACACTTATATAGAGAGAGAAGAGAATTGGATTGCATTTTTGTTTTTGTGGCTGAGTGAATGAATGAATTTTTTTGGAAGCAAACATTTGTTGCCAGTAATATTGGGATTAAGATTAATCGATTCGAATTACATAGACACACACATTGTTGATTTGGCGGCCAAATCATCATTGTCAAGATTTTGTTCATAAATTGATGATGACGGAAAGGAGAAAAAAAATGGGGGAGAACAGGAAAACACATTGATTGAATGTGATCAATGGAAGCATAATGATGATTATCAAATTATTTCAATGCACATAGGAAATTCAAACAAAAACATTACATACCGGTCTTATATTTATACAAAAATCGAATCGAAAATATCTCAAAATGTCAAAATGTTGAACAAGAACAACCAAAATTCGAATGATTTTAAAAATTCGATATTTCGACTATTTCTACCACTATTCGATTAAATTTACATTCAAATCAGATACAATTGTTATCTGATTTTTGATGATTGTTTTGGAATCATTAAAAACAAAGATGATCAGATGATGGACAACAACAACGATATTTTGATGATGGCCAATATTTTTTTGATGTGAAAAAAGCAGTTTCCAATCAGCAATGCAGTTAGCGAGATTCGAGCGATATTCATACACACCAACACACAACACGGTAACAGTGTATGAGGGTAGAAGCATCAGTAATAATGACCATCATTATTATTGTCAAAATGGGCATGCTCATCATGATCATCAGGTTCAAATAGCCGATTCCATTTTTTGCCCGAATAAAAGAAAAATTCGATCCATTTTTCAATGTTTTTTTGTTTTGTTTTTTTTTGGTTAACAATTCTGGATTCGGATGCAAACTTGGCTAATAAAATGTCGTTGGTTGATAGTTTTTTGTATTCTGATTTTTATTGCAAACATTGGATTTATCATTGTTTTTTTGCCTACAAATGATGTTCGGAAAAATGAATCAATCGTTGTTGAAATATGGAGTAAATCTGCTATTGGTCAATATTTTTGGGAAAATATTTTCGATGGAAATATTGAATCAAAATTAATGACCAAAAATGAATTGAATCATCTTTATATGGAAGGTTGGAAAACTATCGATTCCGTACGTTTTCATTTTCGTACTGGCCCGTCACTTAAACCTGAAAGTTATCGATCATTTAGACCGAAAAATTTGGTATTGATTTTAAATTGGCGTAGTAATGATAAAATCAATTATTCCAACAAATGGTTGCGTACAGTTTTTGAAGATCCGAATAATGTACCATCAAATGTTGGCATTATAGCATTGGGAAATGAATCCTGTAATAATACCTGGTTTACCGACCATTTGAAAAACTATCCAAATTTACGTTTTTTATTTTTGGTTTATGATTCTACTTTGGTTGATAACCAATTAATATATCAATGGCCATTAGGCGTTGCAACATATCGTAATTTTCCATCCACATCTGTTATTGATATTCATTCATCAAGGCCTTATGTATGTAATTTTGTTGCCACCATTTATCCAAATTCTTCACGTCAAGAACTTTACAATTTATTCACTAAAAATGATTGGAATCATAAATGTTTAATTAAAACTCGTTCCAAATGGATAGCCAATGAAAATATCGAATCAATGAATAGTTATGTTGAAGCATTACATTCATCTGATTTAACATTATGTCCAGCCGGTTTAAATGTTGAATGTTATCGAATTTTGGAAGCTGTTGAATATGGATCAATACCTGTGATTGAAGAATCGATAATCAATCATCATAATGTCCAAAACAAAAATCAATGTGATCGTCAACAAGTATTACGATTATTCAAACAATTCAATGCACCATTTCATTATGTTCAAAATTGGACTGAACAATTACCCGAACTATTAGCACAATATAATGCTATGGATTTACGTGAACTTATCCGACGACGAATCAATCTTATTAAATGGTATTATCGTTTTCAAATTCATTTACGTAATCATTTTGTTAATGTTTTAAAGGAAAAATTTGTTTAATTGAATAATTCATATGAATAATAACATTTGATATATTAGTTATAAGCTAATTGCTTATTAGGCAAAACCAAAAAAAAGAAAAAATAAATGATAATATAAGAGATCAAGTAGTAGTGGAAAGCGATTGAAATTTTTCTTCAAGTAATGTTAATCTTTGATCAATATGTAATATTGAATCGGTCATTGTTTCCAATTGTTGTAATATACATTTTAATATGCTAATTGAATTGGACAATTTTAATGGATGATGATCATCACCAATATCATCGGATTTTTTATCATTTTTGGTTACATTAAATGATTTGTTCATTTGTTGATTTGGATCGAAACAAATGCTTTGTATATCATCATCATCATCATCATTATCATCAATAATAACATCATCATTATTATTATTGTTGCAATGTTGAGTATTTAGATTACTTTGCCATAACAGTATAACATGATCTTGACCGGCAGTAGCAAAATATTGACCATCAGGAGAGAATTGTGCACAATTTACTGGTCCAGTATGAGCTTTTAGAGTAAAAAGATTTCTACCTTCAAGTACATCGATTATTTTACATGTTTGATCCATTGATGAACTAATTAAATAATTTCCATTTGGATGAAAATCACTTGATGATACAATACCATTATGTAGTTGATAGAATTGTATAGTTTTTTCATATCGTAAATCCCAAATTCTTAATAAACAATCTGAACTTGATGATGATATTATGTATTCACATGTTGGATGCCATTGAACACCTAAAAAATGTGTTGAACGTCGTTTTGATGTTAATCGAATTGCAGCTTCTTTTGAACGAATATCCCATATACAAATATTACCATCATCACCACATGATGATAAAAGATTTGAATTTAATTTTGAATAACGAGCATGACGTATCCAATTCGAATGTCCACCACTTAGGGTACAAAGTAATTTATTTGCACAAGTTGTTGACCATAATTTTATTGTTTGATCATCACTGGCCGAACAGAATTGACTACCATCAACATTAATATGTACACTGTTGATTGGTGATTTATGACATCGATATTGTATTGAATCAGATGAACAATTACTAATATCATCTTGATTGATACGCCAAAGTCTTGCCGTACAATCTTTCGATGCCGATATTATAAAATTATCAGTCATTGCAACTGAAGTAACCGAATCTTTATGACCAACAAATTTATAACAAGTATTTGATGTACGTTGTTCATCATCTAAACACCAAAGCATAGCATTATTATCATCCGATGCTGAACATAAATATTGTGAATTTGGTGAAAATGTAATCCAATTGATTGAAAAATGATGATTCTGAAAACATTTCAAGAATGTTGGATCGGCAATATCTATCGCGGTGGTGGTGGTGGTGGCCATCATTACTGTTTTTTAACAATGTTTGTAGCGATGTTTTTAACGATCAAAAATTCATGAAATGACTCATAACCAATTCAAACATCGTTGTTTTGAATATTATGGTTGCCATTGACAACGCACGTTCGAAACATTCGGTTTTCAAAAATAATAATAATCCAAGAGCAATTCATAAACATCATGATCGCAGGTGATTATAATAGGTCATTTGTCAATAAATTGAGTTTTCGCGAATCGTGGTCAAATCAATTTGGTTGTTTGAAATTAATTAATTAATCATGTCTACCGATCCAAAAGGACATAATCCAACAGCATTAGATCGTTGGCTTTTAGTTCGTTATAAAAAATATCCAAATGCTCAACAAATACCCAATAATGTCAGGTTTGTATTTTTGGATTTTCGCGAATCAATTTTTTTTTAAATCGAAATTTTTGAATTTTTTCTTTCCATTTTCATAGCTCAATCATGATGCGTAGGGTTCATGATAAAGCAAGGATTCATGTTGCAATTATTATTATGGCATTATCCGGTATCGGTATGTTTACCAATGCAATGATTGGAAAATATCAAGCAAAACAAGGTTATTCAATTGAAAAAGCTGTTGCTGATTATCAACAAGAATATAATAAACGTAAAGAACAAGAACTGAGTCAACAAAAAAAGTAGAATTCAAATTAAATGAGCAAAATGTTTGTTTGTTTTTTTCAATAGAAAAAAGCTCTAGATTTTTTTTTTATTCATAAAATTCTAATTTGTTGTTACTGTTTTGATTGATGATATCAAAATAAATTGTTATTAAAAAAAAAATTGAGTAAATTCAGCATCAAATTGTAGGTAATGTAGTATCGGTTGGTCGATAATATGCACGACATCTTTCATGGAAAATCTGTTTAACAAAAAGAGATGATTGATCAATCAATCGATGAAAACAACAACAAAATCAACAAAATCTTACTTTAAGACTACGATCTTTAACCACTTCTTCAACATACAATTCATTTTGCATTAAACGTAATTTATTTTGTTCTTTACGTAATTGTTTTTGTACAGGAAAATTTGCTTCATTTTCATCATTTTGTTGTTTTAATTGATGAAATGATTCGGATACACGAATGATACATTTTTTGATTGCTTGTTCCCTATTTTTATGCGATTCGATGAGCTAAAACATCAAATCAAATATCAAATATTAAAAATCAAATCATTCTTCAAACAACGATTAACCATACCTGTTTATATAATTCTTGACATTGTTTTGTTGGATCGATACCTTTCACAGCGAATGATTGTGTAGGTATGGTTGTATTGATAGCATGTACAATATTATCATCAAATTTACGAAGATTTTTCAGTGCATCCTAATTTTTTTTTTTTGCGAAACAAATGTAAAAAAATCAAAAAACCAAAGCTTTTTGAATCAATGATAATAATAATACCTCGAATGCAAGAAAATCATCACACATTGTTTCCATGTTTGAAGAAATGGATTTTTTTTAAGAATTTTGAACCCAAAAAAAAATGAATCAAAATGTTTGAAAACGCTCAAGTCACGTTGTTCAATTCAAAAAAAAAAAACAGCCGTTCAACAAGCCAGACGTTCGAATAATGGCGTATACAGATAGAACGTTACCTCATGCATATGATGGTTTCGTGAAAGTTTTGAAAGTTTTTAAATTTTTTAAAATGTTTAATATTTTGCAAAATAATAATAATAAAAGTAAATAATTCATTTTAAGCAAATACACAATATATGGATAATATAGAGGGAATGAACAATGTATGAATGAATAATGAATGATTATTTGTTGTTGTTTGATTGGTTTTGTTGTTCGATTTGTTTGGACAAATTTGATGTGACTGAAATACTTGATATTAGTTGACTAGAAATAAGAATATTATTCCTATTCGGTAGAAAAAAACAAAAAATCAAGTATTAAATGTGTTATAGTGGAAAAAGAATTAAACTTACTCGACAAGAAAATCTTCAACATCTTTTTCATCAAAATCGGCACCAAATTCATCACCAAGACTAACAAAATTACCAATCAATTCACCATTTTTGTAGATTAATAAAGCAGGAACTCCATATTTGGTCTATGAAGAATCAAAAATCATTATTAATAAATGAATAATGTTTGATTTAAAAAAACAACTAACAAATTCACGACTCATTCCAACATTGATAGCATCAAGTGAACAGAAAAGAACATCCGGATATTTTCTTGCCAATTTATCAATACAATTATTCATCATATTACATTCAACAATTTTATGATTATAAATATGTGTTACAATCAATACGGATCGTAATTGAACATCATCAATATGTTTAAGAAATGCTTCACCACTTGGTAAATGTTTAAGTTCACCAAATTGTTTATTAGCTGTTGATCGTTGATAACGATCAAGCATTTCTTTCATTCTTTTTGCAATATATTCATTAATAAATGGATCATCTTCATCATCCAAATCATCTGTAGTGGTTGCTGGTGGTGGTGGCGGTGGTGGTAATTTTACTGTCATTGCTGATTTTTTAATTCTTTCCGATCGTGCTCGTTCACGATTTAAACGTCGTTCATTTTCAAATTTTTTATATCGTTGAAAATCTTCGATTACACCTTTTGGTCCAGTCTGTTTTTAAATTAATCAATTCAATCAATCAAAAATTAATTTCTTTACATAATCGATAAAACTTACATTACAACTAGTTCCTTCCCATTTAATTTTACTTTGAACACTTATTTCACGATAATCAGAACGATCATCATCATTATCATTATCATCATCACTGCTGCTGCTACAATAATAATGATTCTTTTCGCCCAATAATTTATTATCCAAATTTGACATTTTTTTTGTTAAATGATAAAATCTTCAAATAAAAAAAAACTCAAACGATCCAAAATCCAAAATAAACAAAGGGAGGACACACACAGAGAATGCACAGGGCAACAATATTCGGGATCAATAATTCATAACACTGTTGTGTTTGTCTGAACTCCTGGGAAAAAAATCGAGCAAAAAAGGTAACTTGCGCATTAAATGGATTCTTGTTCGATTCTATTCGAATATGGTTTTGAACGCCATCTTTTGGTTGAACAAAATAAATGATTAAAGATTCGAAATTGTTATTTATATGTTCCATTTGAGCATCCAAAACAGTCAAACCGAAATTTTATATGTTTTTTTTCGATCATTTTTTTCCGTTTTTTTCGGTTATCATCGAATCCTGGTGAATCACAATTGTGAAAAATACAACGAGTTGAACGAAGACGACGACGACAATTTGAACGGATCATTATCATCATCATTTGACACAAGCAGATCTATATCCGAATTCAACGAAGCGAAGCTTGAAAAGGTAAGATAAATGAATGAATGAATAATCGAAGATGGTTGAATGACATGAAATTGAATGGTTGAATGATTGAACAACAACAATAATAATAGTTCAATTGATAATTAGTATGGGATTGTTGTTGTTGTTGTATTCATAATCATCAATGTATGTCTTTTTATACCATCAACCATCAACGCATTGTTATCGATGGATCGATCTAACAATCGAATCAATTAATTATGATTATTATTATTCAAATTGCAAACATGCGCAATGTTTGACTTCCGTTTTTTGTTTGTTGAGAAATTGATTGAGGTTGTCAATCAACTTTGTTCAACAACAACAAAAAAATATGGTCATCGATCAATCATAATCAAAAAGAAAATCATTCTCCTAATATATTGGGCATCTACAAATCAAATGTTGTAATCAATTAATGACCATTCAAATATGACCTCCATTTATCCTGATTGGGTTATGATCGTTTTTTTTTTGACTAAAGAATGAATGAATGGCAAAACACCACGATTAGAAAAGATTGTCAATTCAAAGGTCATTGTAATCAATTGAAAATTTTTTGATCATATAATGTGGAATATGGCAATTAAAACAAAAAAAACCAACTGGTCATACTGGTTGTCAGGTGTTTTTTTTTCATCGATGATGGTCATTTTCTTCAATTTTCTTCTGAAACATATAACATTCATATGTGAAAGATTTTCAAACCGTAAATAATACCGTTATTATATGGCACCACCACCACCACCACTACTGCTAACAATCAACGATTATTTTCATGGTGTGTTCAACAAAAAATAAGGCAAAAAGCCAAAGATCAAAGACTTGTATATGGTAAAAACAAATGATTGAAACCTACACACACACACACACAACGGCCATATAGCAACAGGTATCGGCAAATTGAAGGTGTGTACTGGCAGCAATGATGATGATGATGATGATAAAAAGGCAGTATCCCAGTATTCTTCAACAACAGGTATAATGGTGAGTATATATGTTTTTCTTGTGTTTTAAAAATAGAAAGGTAGTAGAAGCTACCTATACTAATGAATCGACCATTCCAATCCATGTTGTTGTTAGGTAGATGTTTAATGAACAAGAGAAGCAAAACGACAAAAATAACCAACCATCAGCAACAATTATTTGACCAATTCTTTGATGATCGCAAATAAATAATAATGAACGTTTTACAATGCAAAAAAAAAATACCAAAGAATGAAATTATGATTCAATTATAATGATGATTATTATTCAACGTAACGATAACCAGTCTAACTTGAATGACTACTACCTGGCTTGATTGCCTTGTTGTTGTTGTTGATGTGATGTCAAGTCCGAAATTAGGTGAAATATACAAGCTTATATTGTCGACAAGCAAGCAGGCAGGCAGCCATAACAGGTACGTTGAACAACAACAACAACAATAACAAAACAGGAATGGCCGTTTTGAACGCCGTTAAAAAAAGTCGACCAACAACAACAGGTTGAATATGAACAACAACAACTAGTTTGCATCCCTCCTCCCAATCTATCCATCCATCCATCGGGTTGTTGTCATTCCAGTCAGTTGTCCGTCGTCATCATCGTCATCATCGAGCAGAGTTGGCTGGCTTGCAAATAAGCATTGGCTTGAAATAATCAACAAAACAAAAACAACAACAACAAATCAAAACTGTTCTTATTTCCATCCTCCTCATCATTATCGTTCTCTTCCCCCTCCATCCAACGACAACAACAAAAAAAAAGACGGAAGCAGAGTGTATTCGTGTTCGATTTTTGTTTTCTTAACGAAACAAGTCTTGAAACAACTTTGAAGATAATAATAACTGTTATTATCAAACACAACGCCACCACCACCACCATCATCATAACCATCGCTGCCGCTATGATCCGCAAATCTCCGAAACTTAACTTGTTTTGTTTTGGCCACCATCATCATCATCATCAACGTACATACATAGTGTTTGATGATCATCATCACCCGAACTCGATTCATAATTTACCATTTTGCCATTTTACAGACTTGTTGTTCTCTTTTAGTTCGTTATTCTCTTTCTCTCTCTCTCGTTTCTCATTTCTCATTTCTTATCGTTTATTCTTTTCTTTTCTTATTTTTTTCAATCCGTTCATCAGTGTTTGACCTCATCGAATGATCGACGTTTTCGTCATCGTCATCAGTGTTGACGAGAGCAGCAGACATTTTCTCCATTCTTTATTATTATTTTTTCTTTTTTTCTTCATATTGCTTCTTATTGTTATCGTTGCTCTCAAAAAAAAAAATTTGGTTTCATTAAAAAAAAAAAGATTATTCCGGGATTATTCAACAACAAAGGTGAGTGAGTTGTGTAATTTACGTGTATAATTGTACGTGTGTGTGTTAAATCAAATTTGATTGATTTGTGGTGGGTGTGTTTGATTCTGTTTCATCAACATCATCATCATCATCATCATAGTGTTGTTTTTCAATTATCCGATGCCATATTCTATAACAATCAACGAACCAGAATTGGACTCAACAATTTCAACAACAACAACTACAACAACAACAATTATTAATGATGATGATGAACAAAATATTTATTGTTTGAATCAAAAATTCTCTTCATTATCTCCACCTCCATTATTACCGTATGATTTATTAACAACGTGGCCATCATTTTTATCAACAACAAACGGTGAACAACAACAACAACAACAACAAAATTCATCACCAACAACAATAACGACGGCGATCCAAAAACAAATCTCTACTAATTATTCGGAACAACATTCACCATCGTCATCATTGTCGATGAATGGTGTTGTACATCATAGTTCAGCCGTTACGGCTACTAGTGCAACAAGCGGAAATAATATTGGTTCGGTTGTTGGTGATTTAATTACCAATGCCGATATGGGCCAATATTTACAGCTTGCACAAAAAATTCAACTATCCAATGTGGCTACAACAGCATCAATCACAACCAACAACAACAACAATAATAATAATGATAATAATGATAATTGTTCATCATCAACGTCATCATCATCGACACCGACAACTACAGCGATCAATTCGACTATAACCACAACCGGTAACAACAACAACAACAACAGCAATAATAATAATAATAATAATCTTGTAACAACGGCCAACAATTCACAACAACAACAACAATCATCGGATAATAGTTTTGATGCAAGCCAGATTCAATTCATATTAAGTCCATCGGGTCAATTTCAAACAGCTCAAATTGTATCCAGTAATAATTCATCCGGTGTTGGTAATGATTGTACTAGTTCGATTGTTTATTCAACTAGTTCGGTTACAAGTGATGATCCTGGTACTGGTGAATCGGATGGAACCAAAATAGAATCATCAACAGAAACATTGTTAAACAATGTTGTTGCTGCCACTGTTTCTACATCTGTATCATCAAATAATGCCACTAGTACTGCGGCAGATTCATCATCATCTTCATCATCGGTAGCGTCATCGGTTTCAGGATCGAATACGACATCCAATAATAATGTTCAACAACAACAACAAATGGTACAACAACAATCAGGTCTTGTGCAACAAGTGATCTCGAATTCTCATAATCAACAACAACAACAACTTCATCATCCTCATTCGCATCAGGCCAACGATAATGGCAATAATAATAATAATAATGTTCAATCATCTCATCAATCATCAAACAACAATGGCAATCAACAACAACAGCAGCAACAACAAACAAACGAACAAATGCAGATTCGAGATTATCTAAGTGAAATCAATGTCTTACAATCTGCTGCAGTCATCAACAATTCCAATCAACAACAACAACAACAACAGGCCCAGATACAAATTGCAACCAATAACCATAATAATGGTCTCATTCAACAACAACAACAAGCAACGAATGCCACCACTACAACATTATTATCGCTTGATCAAGCGGCACTTGGCCTTCCATCTAATACAACTCTTTTGACGAATGCATCGTTTTTGGATGGACAACAACAACATCATCTGATGAAAAATGGCTCCATCATTATTGATCCATCATTGACCGATCCATCTAATCTTAACTATGTTTACAGTACATTGCAACTACAATTAGCTACCGCAGATCATCAAAATAAAAATACTATCATGGATCATGCTACAAAATCATCACCAATATTTGCGATAGCAACATCGGCAACAAATACTGCCGAACTTGTACATGGTCAAACAAACAACAGTATTATGCAACAACAAAATGGTGCTCAACAACAAAACAATTCCAATAATAATAATAACAACAACAACAATAGTGCAGCTTCTCGCAGAGGTCGAGGTCGTCCAAAGAAATATTCCGATCCATTATCATTAGCTGTTGAACAATGCCTCGAGAATAGTAATAGTCCTACTCAACAACAACAACAACAATCTCAGCTTCAACAAATCCAACAACAACAGCAGCAGCAACAACAACAACAACAACAACAACAACAACAATCTCAAATTCAGCAAATCCAACAGCAACAACAACAACAGCAAGCGACTGCCACCACCGTATTGGTCACAACGACAAATACCGGTAATGGACAACAACAACAACAATTAACTCAATTTGGTACACCATTAACGGTGACAAGCAATATGAATACAAATCAATTGCTTCAAGCTGCCAATGCTTCGAATACTACCACAAACACTACTCAACAAGCAGCAACAACAACAATGATGATGATGACAACACCGACCAATATACATCGTTGTCGTTGGCAAGGTTGTTCATTTGCATCAACCGATATATTGGAATTTCGTAATCATAATCGTACACAACATCGTGATGAATCGACAATTATACCATCACGAAAAGGAAAATCATCTTCATCAAAAGATCCATTGATTTGTGAAGTACCTGGTTGTGGTTATTCACCAAAATATCGTCGTTTATTGATTGATCATCAAAATGCTCATAAAGGATTACGAGCACATAAATGTTGTTTTTGTGAATATAATTCTTCGTATTTTGGCGATATTCGTAAACATATGATTAAAAAACATCCAGATCTAGCACAAGAAATCAAACTTACCAAACTTAAACTCAAACAAAATGGTGGTTTGGATAATAAAAAAGGAACGAAAAAACATAGAGTCGATGAAATGGGCAATAAAATTGAAACAAAATCAAGAAAACAACAATCAAACAGTACTGATAATGATCCAAATTCTATCGGTGGTAAAGGTCGTAAACGAAATTATAATCGCAAAAATTCAAAAAAGAGCAAAAAAGATGATGCATCATCAAATGCATTAAACGCTGCCCAAGTTGCTCCCACTACATTGACATTGCCAGGTGGATTAACGTTGGCCACACCGAACGTCGGTAACAATGGCAATCAAATCAATCAGCAATATCAATTTATTGGAACGCCAACCGGATATCATCCACTGCAATTAAATAATGCTACTCAGGCCGATTTGGCCACACTACATTCAATGGGTTCCAATTATGGTACGAATGCTTCGACAACCAATACACCGCATGGTCTAATGCCACAAACGGCAATCATTTATCTACAAACCACTAATGCATCGGGCCAACCATCCACTATACAGATTTCTTCTAACGATATGAACGCTATTAATCAATTGATTGCTGCAGGTGGTGCAACATATGCCACTACTGCCGATCTAAATTCATTGACCAATGGTCAATTGACAGCTTTGTCATCCTCAAATGGTCAACATCAACTTCAGCTTCAACATCATAATCATCATCAACATCACCAACAACAACAACAACAGCAGCAGCATCAGTTTGCGACGTCTAATTCATCATCGGCTATACTTGCGGCCACATCTATTTCCGGTACATCAACCACAGGTCAACAACAACAACATCATCATCATTTAGTGCAATCATCTCAACAACAGCAACAACAACAAGCTCGTAATGATATGGCCGTTGCGACCAATGGTTTTGCAACGATTGGTGCTGATGGAACGCTAACATTTCTTACAGATCCGACGGCTGCTGCAGTTGCCGCTGCTGTCCAACAACAGCAACAACAATCGAATCAACAACAAACTGGTTCAAATCAATCTGGTGGTACAACAACAACCACATTACAACAAGCTGCAGTCACATTATTTAAATGTGATTATCCTTTATGTTATTTTCAAACCGATCAATATGAAAGTTTATTGATTCATAAACATCGGGATCATTCTACGACCACAACCAATTCAACGGTCCATTTGCAACAACAACAACAACAGCAACAACTTCAGTTACAACAACAACAACAGCAGCAGCAACAACAACAACAACAACAGATTACGATAATTGATGCGGCCACATTGGCTTCATTGACCGGGCAATCAAGCAATCAAAATGGACAACAACATCAATTGATACATCATCAACCATCAGGTGTTTATACGTTGGCCAATGCACAGCCATTACCAACATCATCTTCAGCAAATTCGGTGATCAGTTCGCAACAGCATTTTATATTGGATCCCTATAGTGGAATGATCACAACAACGGCAGCCATCAATCAGGCTGCTGCATCTGCTACAGCAAATAACAATGATCCAAATGGTTCGAACATTGCCAATGGTGCAACTATACTCAATATTAATCAACTCATCTCATCATCTTCATCGCCCGGTACGACAACGACCAACAGCAATGGAACATCATCATCAACGGATATGTTGGTAAAAGGACAGAAAAGTAGTCCGTTATTAATCAATAATAATAATAATAATGGTACCGCTGGATCGGTAGTGATCAATTCTACTTCTAATGATCAACTTCAACAACATCATCAGATTGTCAATGTTGGTGGTCAACCGCATATGATATTTACTGGCGATCCAAATACATTGTCATCATTTTTCACTACACAAACTAACGCAAACAATCAACAGCAACAGAATCAAACATCGACCAGTACGGTACATCAAGTGGTAGCAACAATTAATCAAAATGGTATGGCTACATTAACTCAACAACAACCACAACAAAATAATAATAATAATAATAATGGTAACAATAATGGTGGAAGTCCACAAAACCTTGGTTCCAATTCATCATCATCATCATCATCATCGTCAACGGTAATCACAATACCGAATAATTCTTCAACATCATCAATTGTAACTACATCGGTAGCACAATTAGCAGCAACATCACAATGAATTCCATTGATAAATTAAAACTAACATTAGAAATTGATAAATATTGATAAGATATAATCATATATTTCACCCACCTATCATACCCATTTACCATATACCATTCATCATCATTTATCATCCACATTCCAAATGATAGTCGTGCATGTTTACATCATCATCATCTTATAGTAATAGACATGCATACTGTACAAACAATACACAATCAATCAATCAATCAATCAATTCATTAACCAAAAACAAACTATAATATCCGAATCACTGATCAACTTTTTTTTTTGCTTTCTTGACAATGTTTTTTTTTAATATTTTTGTATTCGTTTGGCTCGCTCTCTCATAGTACAATTAATTTATTGAATTATCATTATTATTATTATTTTTTATACAAAGAAATCTATTTTAAACTGATTTAATCAAAACAAAGAAAATACACACACAATTTTTATATTTACATTACTCACACACATATCTCGATCAAACAGGTGACAGACAAAGCAATTATAAGATTTTTTTTTCTTCATTCTGTTTTTATTCTTATTATTATCATTATCATTATCATCAATGAACAAATGTGGCAATCATAAACATACACAAACAAACAGATCAGATACTGATACAACTCATTCAAACTATTTTTTTTTCTTCTTCTTCTTCTTATGACCGAATTGATAAAAAATGGAATAAAGAATTTGGTCTTCAAATAGTCTTTGAGTCAAGGTTATTTCGAGGTTATTTTTGCTGTTGAATGGATGGATATAATATTCGATCGATTCGAATATCGAATTCAGTAACAGGTATTTGATCAACAATTTGTTGATCAAATGCTAAACCAATTGTTAATGGATATTGATGATGATGATTTTCGTTTGCCATTTGTTGCCGCTGACGACATTGATCCAACCATCTATCATAATAACCTTTACCATGTCCCAGACGTAAACCATCATTTGTAAATGCAACACCAGGTACAAGAATCAGATCCAAACCACCTGTTTGCATTGCATCAGATCTTGTTGTTTTTGTTGTTGCGGTTGAATCAATCAAATCTGGTTGTTTTATTCGATATTTAGGTTCAATAGGCATTTGTTCATAATCATGCCAATTATTAATTTTCAACATTTGCATATTAGGATTATCTGGTGAATATCTTGGTACAAAACATTGTTTATTCGATTGTAAACATTGTTTCAAAATTGGTAATGTATCAATTTCTTTATCTTCCATACTCAGGTAAAGACCAATACGTTTTGATTGTTTAAATTCAATCATTTCGAATAAAATTTCATGTATAATTTGTGATTGTCGATGAATTTCATCCACGGATAATTGTCCTATTCTTGTGGCTATTTCTTTTCGTAATAAACGTTTTGATTGTTGAATTGTAGTAGCCATCATTCAATAATACGGAATTGGATTCCAAAGATTCAAAACTTTTCGACCAAAAAAAAAAAAAGATTGGAGCTAGAAAAACATCAAAACAGAGCAACAAAAAAGTGAGCAGAGCAGAGCTATCAAGTTTGCTATTGATAAACACGTCCATTTCGCGAATCATATCATAGCAATCAATCAAAATCGCAATTTCTATCGCATTTGATTGCGATTGAAAATTATCTTATTGGCCAAATATGTTTTGTGTTGCTCATCATCGCCACCATCGTCAACATTATCGAACATTTGATTCGGAATACGAAAAACATAACGAACAAACGAAAAACTGTTCGCCCAATTCAACCATAACCAGTTTGTGAGCCAAGTCAAGATTATCGATGGATTTAGGTCACACACACACTCACACACACACACTATGAGTAAATGACGGTAATGCAAACACCCATCATCATCATCATTTGGAGAAGAAGAAAAAAAATCCCGTTAATCGATCTCAGGTAGTCGTACCTGTTACACATCACTATTATACACATACACACACGAAACGAAATTGGAATGGTAATTAACCGGAATTAGCTTATATGATCATTGCTTTTAGGCGATCAGTTTATAATCAAAAAAAAGGTTGCCAATAATAAACGCAACAATCGATGATGACCAAATCTGGCGCCAAAGTTGATTATCCTGTTCTCTTTCTTTCTCTCTCTTGGTATTTTTTTATTTTTTTTCGGGTTTCGGCTCCATATTGTGTGAATACCCACTACTGACATATTGAGGTGAAGAGAACGAAAATAGAGAGAGAAAGAGAGAGAGAGAGAGAGACTTATCTTTATCAATATGTTTCGTGTCAATCATCATGTTGATGTCCCATTTCAACAAAAAAAGAAAGAAGAAAATAATTTTAGCTGGTATATTTTGGCCTCAAATGAGATGGTTCGCATGATTGGTGAATGACTGACGGTGATTCAACATTGAAATTGGCTAAAAAAAGATTCGAAACAAACATTAATAACCGAAAAAAAAGAAATGAAGAATAACCGGTCCGGCTCTCTTTTCATTGTGTTGCCCTGTCTGTATTTTGAAATGTCTAAACTTGGAAACCTAGATTTGAAGACCAGGTTTTCTTTCTTTCTTTTTTGTTGTTGTTTGCTTGGCAAAAACGGCGACCTCGATTTCATTTTTTTGGATGATAACAGAAGAAAATTCACCCAAAACAAATCTCAACTCACAACGGTTCCGGAAAAAAAATTTCTTTTCATTTACAGACTTTTTCCTCATCTTTTTTTCGTTGGCCAGTTTTCCGATTACTCAAGACCAGATTATCATCATACGATGAAGTATGGTATGGTCGAGATGTTGCCAATTCGAAACAATATTCAAACAATTGGAATGGAATTGAGGGCAGAAAGTCGTTTCAGTTGTTGCTCGAAACGTTGAAGAAGAAGAAGAAAAAAAATGGAAGACAAGTTGAAAGGATTGATTTGCCAAGGCCAATCAATGAAAAAAATGAAATTGCCCCCCATTTTTTTCACAATGGAACAATGCATTAGTCATTCAAAAGAAAAAAAAATTCCTTCTCTTTTTAATGAATGAAATGAAATGATGATGATGATAATGAAGGCGCCAATATAAAATCGCCCTTTCCAAAATCAACCCTAATAGTCCTTTTTATGTTCAAATAGATTTAATTACCCTAATTACATGGATGAAATAATTGATTGTTGAATCTCAAACAATTTATTTAAGTGTTTCTATTCATATAATAAGTAAACGTTCATTAATGCCCATCAGGCTTGAATAGTATTCCTATCGATATATGTTGGTAATAAGGGTAGCCCAATAATAATAGTTGTTGCACGTATATATCCCAATTTCCAATGCTGCAGCTGATTTTTGATGATAAAGTGTGTCAAACTCAATTCAATCATTATTTTTTTTGGTCTTTTGGTTTATTTCTTCCAAATTTGACCATAGTTTGATGTATGGATCCATTTTATCTATACATCAAAACTAATAATTCTTCGTAATTCTCAACCGAATGCATCTGTAATCGAAAAAACGGGGATAACATATCTGTTCAATTCATTTTATTTCATTTGAAAATCCATCGGAAAGTAAGCTGGTAAGAATCATATTTATTACTCACAAAATAAAACGAATGTTGCTGTTGTTATTGTGAGTAAATCTCAATTATCTCAGTGGTCATTCAATGAATCAGACATTTATGTTGATAATCCAATCTACTTGGTATTTTTAAGTGTGAAATATAGCTGAAGAGAAAAGATGAAGAAAGAGAAAAGAGTTTTCAACAATTGGCAATATACGCGTAGATAGATGAAATGCAATACTCAAAACAAAGTTAATCAAAACAATTTTTATGAAATTCAATGCCAAACAACAACAACAACAATAAATGAATGACAGAAATTAAAGCTAGTGATATTTGTTGTAGGAAATCTAACAGAGAAAAAAGATTTGATAAGAAATATTAATGTCAATGTTTGTTTTGTTTTGTTTTGTCGATTTGTGTAGTAGGATAAATCAATTTGGCCAGATAAGAATATGAGCTCTACATCAGACACAAAAATTCGAATGAATTCTGGATCACGTTCATTATCGAATCAAAATAACCGTCTTTCGTTGGGTTCCTGGTTTAATCAGGTTTGTCAATTTACCATTTGAATATCTAATTGGTTAACTAATGAAGAATTTTTTTTTCCAAAATAGAACGATCAATATGATTTTCTTAAAGTTGAAAATCGAATACATCGATCAAATTCATTGAAACAAAAAGATGATACGAATCAAATTTCTAAAACAAAAAATTTTACCGAACCAGATTCTGTATCGGAAATGGGATTTCCAGCTCTTACAAAACGTTTATCCAGTCATGTTGTACAAAGATTTCGAAGAAAACAACGTGCCAGTAGTGTTACAATAAATCCGGCTGATTTACATGATGATATTCTTACATTCGACGGGGTTTTATTCTATCTTTCAATGTCGAATGGATTGGCCGGAACATTGACGACCAATTCGAAAAAGATAGTATTCACATCGGGTCTAGTCGAATTGACAAGAAATTGCAACAATCATCATCAAATGCGTAAGCATAATTTTCTTAAACAACCGGTACCGATCAATCCGATCGACACTGAAAATCTAAATGCTGAAATGGAAATGTACGAAATTGATTTGTCTAATATTGCTGAAGTTTCATTAGAAATGCCCACAAATCCGACTGCAAGAAGTATCATTTATATACATTGTCGAAATTTTAAACATGCTAAAATTGGACTAAAACAATCATCAGCTGAATCATTATATAAAAAATTGATTGCTGAACATCAACGAATGAATCAAAATTCATTGATAACTACTGATTCATTATCTTCATCAACATTAACGGTAACAGATGATGGAACAAAATATTGTCGACCTTTGATTTGGGAATATCTTCATGATAATTATCATTATCGTGTTCGATCGGATTGGGTTAAATATGAAAAATGGTATGTTAATAATTTCAAAATTCAATTCTCACAATTCAACGAATTGGATTGTGCCTGTCCATCATTACCCGAAATTGTTATTGTACCAAGAAAAGTTGGCGATAAAGAATTAGAATCGATAGCCAATATGAGCGATGGACAACGTGTACCGATTATAACTTATTTACATCGTAACAATGGTCATATGATTATTCGTAGTACAACATATAATTCAAATCGTCTGCCATTAAGAGATCTTTATCATGAAAGAATTTTTGATGATAAATTAAATTCACTTTTTGAATTTAATGTTATGGCCAATGTACCATCATTGGAAGAAGTAGAACGTGCACATACAAAACTACGGAAAGCTTGTTTCAAAACAATTCGTATTAATCAACAACAGCAACGAAAACAAAACAATGAACAACTCGAACTTCATTATAATATTGATTATTGTAAACATTTTTGGTCTAAATGTTCATCATGGCTATATATAATGGCTAAACTATTGAAATTAAGTTCAAAATTGGCTGAAATTGTATACAAACGAGAATCGATTGGTTTAGTTGAAAAATTTGATTCCAATTGGAATTGTTTGCTTTCTAGTCTTGTGCAAATTATTCTCGATCCAGAAAGACGAACAATCAAAGGTTTTCAACAATTATTGAGTAAAGAATGGCTATATTTATCCGGATATAAAAGTATTGATAGAAGATTTGGACATAATGATAGCAAATATAGACCGATGAATTGTCCGAATCATATTCTTTTCCTATTATTTTTAGATGCTGTTCATCAATTATTACGACAAAATAGCCAATCATTTGAATTTTCTTCTTTTTATCTGATTCTTTTATTAGACTATCAAGTAAATTCTGATCTAGCTACTAAAGAAAAATATTTAGAATTTGAAATCAATCAATCACATCCGCTTATGATAAATCCATTGTTTACGACTATGACCACCACCACCACCACAATGACCGGTTCAAAGCCATTACGTATCAAAACACATATTAGCCATATGTATTTTTTTAGTAAACTTTATTTTCGTAGTCTTGGTACACAGTTACCATCAAGATTTACAGCCGAAGAATTACTTTATATTAATGAATTGGATTCAAGAAAATTGATTTGAAAGTGAAAAAGAAGAAAAAGGAAAAAATTTATCGTTTATTTATTCGTTCATTCAAAATTCAAAAAAAAAAAATCTTATATTTTTTTAAATATCATTTTTAATAATTTTTTTATATCATTAAAATCGGTGATTTCTAATATATAATTTTTTTTTACAAAAAACCAAACAAACAAATAACAAACAAAAAAAAAAGTTTCAAAGATCCGGTGCAATCAAATCAATCACTTTCATGGCTATTTCATAGCCAAAAAAACATGCTGCATTGGCTGGAAATGCACGAAGAAAAACGGCTATTGCACCACGATAAAATCCACCAATACCTTCTTTGGCAATTATCTCACGAATAACATCACGCATACCATTTGGATATAGATTTGTAGGTGCTGTTTGTAAACGAGATTTTATCACATCAGCTGGCAGTGCAAAACACCAGAAAACAATACCGGACATACCACCAGCAAATAATGTTCGCCATACGCCAAGTCCGTGTTCTTGTTGTTGTTGTTGACTGGAATGTTGATCATTTGTTGAATGATGTAAGATGAGATGTCTTTGAAGTAGTTCGTATGTAACAAAATAGGCACCACCAGCAGGAACATCTCGACAAAGAGTTGCAATAGTACCTCGATAAAGTGATCGAAGACCACCATCTCGATATAGTTTGAATGCACAATCGATTGGTCCATTAAAAAGTGGTTTGTTGCCGCTAGCTTGTTGAATTTGCAATAAACATTTGATTCGTTCACCCGGTGTTGTGATAAGATTCGTGAACACCGAAGACAGCATACCGGCATTGAATATTTGCATAGCTGAATGATGATAACCATCGACTGGATTTTGTAATTTTTTTCCCAAACTATAGCCGAAAAAACAGACCGAATATAATGGCGTTACACCGACTAATGGTGTGGCCATTCCTTTGTAAAATCCTCGAACACCTTCATCGGTAAAAATTTTTCGAACACAATCCCATGTACCCGAATAATGTGGTATTTGTTGTGCGCTTGTCATTGATGGTGTTGATGCGATCTGTGCATTCGAAGTTAATGACATTGTTTGCATACGAACTTTAACCGTATCCAATGGATGTCCAGCAGCCACCAGACAAATACCACCAAAACCACCGGCAAAGAAATTTTTAATCGTTGATATTTGTTTTGGTTTATGATCATATTCATGGCATTCGAGTTGTTTTTTAGGATTTGCCATTTTAGTGAACGATCATTGATTGAGCATTTGATGTTGGCGGTGAAAAAAAGTAAGAAAGAATAAATGATGGCCACAATTATCACCAGTTTATGAATATCATATTAAATCGTATTTGGTGATAATTTCCTAACGGAAAAATATTGATCTTTGCCAAAACACTTGACTATATTCCTTGGGGACAGAATTATTAATGTAAAGATCTTTAAAAATGACTATTTCAACCCATCCATAACGATTATGATACACGTGATTGGCAAGATGAAAATATTTGTTTGTTAGAAAAAAAAATCATTTGGTTACACAATATTTTCGAAAATGAATCAAAACGAATTTCAATTAAACATTTTTTCGGGAGATTTTGGTTCACCATCTATCCATTATGATAGTTTATTAGCAATAGCTTATTGTTCGTTGGCTGGAATTAAACAATTGAAAATAAATCTACGTAATGATCTTTATTACAATAAACTTCCATCACTTTCGATCGATTTAAATGAAACAATCGAAGGTGTTGAAAATGTGATCGATCATTTTGAAACTATCAACTATAATAGTGAATTTGTTAAATTAAATGATCAACATGATTTTGATTTTATTAGCCATAAATGTTTGTTCGAAAATCGATTAGAACCATGTTTACTTTATTTTCATTGGTATGATGAAGAAAATTATAATGAAAATATTGGTCGATGGTATGCAAAGAAAGCACCATTTCCAACGAATTTTCTTCTACCACGATTATTACGAAAAGAATCAGTAGAAAAATTGGAAAAAAGATTTCCAATCAAAATTCTTGAAGATGATAATCGTTCCAAATTGATTGAGAAAAAAGTAATTTCCGATGCTATTTCATGTTTAAATTCTTTGTCCAATAAACTTGAAAATCATCCATATTTATTCGGTTCAAAACCGACTAAAATTGATGCCTATCTTTATACATATTTGACTTTATTGTCACAATTACCAGTTAAAAAAGAAATAATACGTGCCCTTATACGTTCATCACCGAATTTACAACAATATTTGGATCGAATCAATCAAATGGAATATCTTAAACAATTCTCTTCTATTTCAAATGGCGTATCATCCACATCATCAACTACTGACGGTATCATTGATCAGGATAGCTATATGAAAATCAAATGGACGGATGTTATGTTTTCTGGTGCAATTGCAGCCTTATTTATGATTTACTATGCCTTTTCCATTGGAATTATTGCAACATCCTATCAAGATGATGATGATGATGATGATGACGATGAAATTGAAGGGGAACGTGAACAGGAACAGGAACAACAACAACAATAACAAAAACAAAACTCTGAACATATTAGTCATGATATAATAATTAATTGTAATGTATAGCATATATGTTTTTTGTTTCACATTTTGAAATAAATGAATGTGGATTAAAAGATTTCATTGAAAAAAAAGTAGAGATAATTGAAAAATCGCTACAAAATGATAATTCCTTATCGTTCTAATGGAGTAGTCGTTTGACCGCGTAGAATTTTTGCCCAACCAATTAATCGCCAATGACGATCAACACGACGACTTAATGCAATTTTTTCACCAATTTCAATACAAACTGGTGTAAATAATGATATTTTGGCCATATCTCCTTTGATGGCAACCACTTTACCGCCGGTCGATAATGAACCAATGTTCAACATAAGAACTTCATTTTTGGTCAATTTCTGTACTTTAGCACCTTTCTTATCGCCTTCGGTTCGAACGCCCAATAATCGTCGTAACAAATAACAGGTAATTTCGATTTCAACATAGATATCGGGCAATGTACCAACTGCACCGAGAACTTGGCCAACCATACGATCACCACGTGTTAACATTGGATCGATTTTCGTTCCAACACCAATCAAACCACCTGGTACGGCATATTGTAAATCATTTTGATCAGCATACAACGAAACAATTTTCGATCGAATCGGATAGCATTGAATTTGTTGATTTTCTCCTTTGTCAATGATACCAGGACGAACTTCGATTTCCATGCCTACGGTTAGTACACCTTTAAGTATTGAACCGCCTGCAACACCACCTTTTATATCTTCTACTTCACTTCCAGGTTTGTTTACATCGAAAGATCGAATTATGATGAGCCTTGGTGGCGATACAAAATCACGATCAGGTATGGGAATTCTTTTGGTTATATATTCGCAAAGCACATGGATATTATATTTGAGCTGAGCACTGATCGGTATAATTGGGCAACCTTCGGCCACTGTTCCTTGAATAAATTTACGAATTTCTTCTTCTTGTGCTTTAGCCTGAGCTTCTTTAACCAAATCGATTTTGTTCTGCAAAATGATCAGATGTTTAAGTCGCATAATTTCGACAGCGGCTAAATGTTCCGAAGTTTGTGGTTGCGGACATGATTCATTGGCAGCAATCAATACTAATGCTGCATCCATAACTGCAGCACCGTTCAACATGGTAGCCATAAGAATGTCGTGACCGGGACAATCGACAAATGAAACATGACGCAATAAACGATATTTACCATTACAATCGGGCCTTTCACATTTGAATTCATCTTCTTTGTTACTCGAAGCTGACATATAACATTCGGGTCGAGGACAATTGTCACATTTGAATATTTTAGCATTGGCATAGCCTAATTTGATAGTAATATTACGTTCTAATTCATTTTTGAAACGAACAGTTTGAACACCCGATATCGCTTTGACAACTGTAGATTTACCATGAGCTACATGACCGATTGTACCAATGTTGATAGTCGCCTGTCTGGATATCACTTCAGGTGTGAGTGGTGTTAATTTACTCGTTTCAAGAGTATCTAGATTCTGTACTTTTAGATGACCAGACATTTTTATTTGTCTTGTTTATTGGATTATTATTATTATAATTATTGATGCCGGGTAAAAATCTGACGCAATCTTGGTCAAATTCATTAACACGTGGACAATGATACACAAACGAGCAAAAACCAATACTACCGGCTGATTTAGTCAATATTATACTCTGAACTACTTACAATGTATACATTTTTTTTTGTTTGTTCACACAATCGCGATTGTAAACAATCGATATTTTCGAACGATGTGTGTGTGGAATAAAGATATATCTTGCAAAAGTATTACCATGGCGTCATCATAGAAATTATAAAATAGCAAAAAGGATAGTGTATATACGATGAGTCAGTTTCATTCTTCAATATTGACATCATCATTTGTCATATAGTGGATTGAATTTAATAACAAAAAAAACTTTTGAACCATATGGATGACGATAACGAACGTATACAAAATGTATTAGAATTTTGGTTTGGAAAACCTGGTGATGATGATTATCTAAAATCACGTTCATTTTGGTATGGATCCAATAAAGCTGATGATGATTGTGTTCGTAATGCATTAGGTCATGATTATGAAGATGCTAAAAATGGCCGTTTAGATCATTGGTCCGAAACATCTGATGGTTCATTAGCATTAATCTTATTGTTGGATCAAGTTCCACGTAATATTCATCGTGATCAACCGGATGCATATGCTACCGATGATCAGGCATTAATGGTAGCCAAAAAAGTGGTTGAAAATGGTTGGGATCGTGATCAACCAAACATCATCAGACGATATCTATACTCACCATTCAATCATTCAGAAAGATTAGTCGATCAAGAACAATCGGTTAAATTATTTACCGAAATGAATGATAGTGAACATTTGTATTGGGCTAAAAATTTCTATAATATTATCAAAACACATGGCCGATTTCCACATCGAGATCGTATTCTCAGACGAATTGTATAGTAAAATTCATTTGATTTGACTTGATTATTATATATTGGATATAATATACATACGAGATCGATTAATAATGAAAATGTGACAAAAAAAAAACATAAAAAAACAAAACAAACATTTTAAAAAAACGAAAAAAAAATGTTCATTGATTAACATAACCAAATGCATCATGATTACGTTCAATAATATCTTGGGCCAATTGAACATCGGCTATATTGCTAAATTCATGATGTTGAATGCTTATCAAACATTTTTTCAATTCAAATGCTTTATGTGGTTCTTCTGCATATTGTGTATTTTTCAGAATGTTGGCCGTTAATTCCAGGTAATATTTTATTCGCTATATTTTTTTTGTTGTTGAAATGATTAATTTTTGTTGATTAAATTAAAAAAAATGTTGTTTGAAAATCAATCAAATTTTTTTTTCTTCAAAAAATACTTACATGATCACCAACAGGTAAATTGTTCAATTGGCTAATGATAATATCGATAATAACACGAACATCATTATAATAGAATAATGATGATACAATTTTATCGGCAAACATTTCGGTCAAAAATTTGAGTACCGAATTTTGATTCGAATCATAATGATTGAATGTAGAATTAGAAAATTGATGATCCAATTGATTATTATCGAAATGATTATCATATGATTGTCTGGTCAGATTACAACTGGTCAATATAATATCTTCTTCCCAATTAAGATAGGAAATAAGATTTTCGGTAAAATGGCTAGCATTAGTTCGTTTACCTAATGCTTTAAAAATAACATTATCACCAATATCGGTAATATGTAAATTAAATGCCAATATTGGTGATATAATATTTTCGGATGGAATTTCACATTCAATTGTTTGGCCATTAATATCAAAACCTTCACAAAGATCAAATTGATGACTGAAAAATTGTTCATTAATATGTTCATAAATGTTCACCGGTGGTTTATGACCAGAACTGAATATCAATGTAAACAATGTTGATGCTTTGATCCATCGTTGTACATCTTGGACATGATTTTTCATTTCAACAGTCAATTCACCGGGTAACACTGTAGTCAGGTAAAAATCGGCTGGTACTCGTCGATATAATCGTATAAGGCTGTATAATTAAAATCATTTTTGACCATTAACATCAATGATGATTAATGATTACTAATCATACTTACATAATAAATATATCCATCAATTTTAATCGTAATGAACGTCGTGTTTCCATCTGAAAATATTGTATTAAATTGAACAGATTTTCATGATTTTGTGAACAAATTTCTTTTTCCAGGAATGATTGTTCAGTATTGGTCAAAAGATTCATCAATTCATCCAGATAACTTTGAATAATATCTTCATCCTGATAAACAGGCCAATTACGTTGTTGTGTATCATTTTTACAAAACCAAAGACGTTTAAATATACATTTCAATTTGGATGAATAAACATTTTCACTATTTACTTTTTCTTCAACATATTTTTCCATTATTTCCATAATACGTTGACAATCTTTTTGCCATGATTGAACATTTTCCGATAAAGTTTTTATCACAGAATTAGCTACAATAATTGCTTTTGATTCGCTTAAATTTGAATCCAATTTGATATTTTCGATTAGATTCGAAATTAATTGTTCATTGATTTCATCACCAGCTTGTTGTTGTTGTTGTTGTTTTAAGCAACAATGTCGACATTTTTTCAAACATTCACCATTTATCGTATCTATTTCATTATTTTCTTCATCTTCTTTGTTTTCTTCTTGAATAACGGATAATTCATTTACACCGGATAATACACCAATAGGTTTACTACTTTGTTCCAGCTTGATCAATGTTTCAGTTATTTCACATCGCATCTGAGCTAATTTGCTAAATTAAAATAAATCAAAAAATAAAGATTCAAATTACCAGGTTATTTGAAAAATGAAAATTATGTTTTTTTTTTACATTTGAGCATGTTTCAATTGTCGATCAGTTAGTATTTTATTTGTTTCATTATTTTTCTGATCAAGTTTGGAAGCAATCGAATCAACAAGCTGAAGCAATTCTTTTAGATTTTTATTCTAAAAAAAATGAATAGGAAATCAACAAGCTTTTTATAAACAATTATGTAATCAATCATTAATCATACCTCTTCGTAAACGACGTACGAATTAGGAACATAACCAATTTGTCCTTTTTCATTGATAACATAATACCAATCGGATGTTTTATCCGGATCTTTGATCATTAAAAAACGTTCATCAACATTGAATGTTAATATTTTTGGATCTCGATTTTCCAGATATTCAAACACTGATTTTAATGTAAAAATCTGTGGCATATTAGTTGTTGTTGTTATCGGTTTTATTGATTCCATTTTATTGATTGATTGAAATCTTGGTCACAATTTTGAAGACTAGAAATATTTGTGGTAAAAAATAATTGTTGACTTTTTTCCTGATGATTTACATCGATTCACATTGATAGATGAATAAATAAAAGATGCTTAGCAAGAACGTTTGATTATGGATGGATCGTATGATGATGCAACGAGAAACTCATTTCGTACGGGATCCAAAACAAATGAAAACCCCCACTTTCTATCCACGAGAAAAGAAAAAAAAATGGGAGAGCAGTCAGCATCTCTGACTATATAGTAAAAACATTATGAACATATAGTGTGTTGTAACATAACATCCATTTATACAATAATATACGTTATAAACATACGTTTGTTTTTTCTTTTAGCATTGATATTGATCCTCTTGTTGATTTCTTGATACAATATTCTTTGGTTGGTTAGTTAGTTAAGGTTATCATATTTCATTATAATATTTTACAGTTATTTTTTTCATATTCGAATGTTGTTTACACAGCTAATTACAATAGTAATTGCTTGATTTTTTTTTAAAAGTATCGTTACAAAATCGTTTGAGAATCGGTTTTTCGTTTGTTTAAAATTCAATAAAATTTGATTTTACTTTTGAAAAAAGTTTTTTTTTCTAAAATTCGAATTGGAACGAATGAATGCATCCGCCCATTCGAATCGATCATCACGCCATCTAACGATGATGATGATTTTAAAACAATCGAATTTTGACTATCGATATTCGATATGTCCATTTTCGATATTCACGTGATATTAACTTTGTTCTATGCTTCCAATATATTGAGCTACCTTGGTGTTCCCTCTCTTTTTTTCTCTTCTCGAACACAGCTCACATTGCTTCGAAAAGAATTTATGTTCACATCTTGAACCAGGTGTTTTTTTTCTCATAAAAATCCAGAATTTTCAAAAAATAAAAACATCGTTTCAAATGAAAAATGGAATCTGTTGTTAAAAAAACCGAAATGGATTCGAATGTAGTCGAAATGATTGTTGTGTCCGAACATCCACAACAACAACAACAACAACAACAAGAACATCATCGATCGGAACAATTTTTGAATAATGATAATCATATGATGGAAACATCACAAGATTCATTCGATATAACTGATCATTCATTACGAATATCACGTCATTTTATAACATTATTGGATGAATATCGTTATCTAATGTCATGTTTAATGAATACTTGTAATTGTCATTCAAATTTTGATTATCAATTTTTCCTTAGAAAATTGGAAAGTCGTTATAATAAATTAACCAATTTGGTTTCGGCTGATTCATCCGTTTCTCAATTGTTAAATCCACATGAAGAAACAAGTATTGAACAATTAATAGAACAATCAACAATGAATCGAATGCAAGATAATAAACAAATTGCTACTCCATTTATACATCGTGTTCGAATTTGTGAACGTTCGAAATCATCATCAATGATGAATAGAGATATGATTACAATCGATGATGATGATGATGATGGTGATGGTGTTGGTCATAATGAAGAAGATGAAGGTGGTTTTTTTGATCTGCCCAAATTTGATATATCATTAAAAGATGCTCAGATTGCCTATAAATGTAGCCATCCAAAATGTGAATTTCTTAGCTTCAGTCAAGATGATCTTATTGATCATTTAAAAGATCATTCATCAGGTACAACAACAACTATAAAAGCTAATGATATTGAAACAAAACGTGAAATTGTTTATGTTTGTGATCAATGTGGTAAAGAATTTGCTGGACAAAAATGGCTTGATAATCATGTGGATAATGTTCATACTTATACAAGATTATTTCATTGTGATTATCCTGCCTGTACTTATAGTTCAAAATTTCGTTGCGTTATGGAAGATCATAAACGTCGTCATATGAAAAATAAAGATTTTAAATGTTCATGGCATGGTTGTGATTCAGAATTTGTTACAAAACGTGATATGGTTGCACATATAAATTTCTATCATAAAGGTATTAAAAATTATCAATGTTCATGGCCAAATTGTGATGCAAGTTTTAAAGATTCAAATCGTTTAAAACATCATTATTATACACATACAGGTGAAAGACCATATAAATGTGATGTTTGTGATTCAAGTTTTAAACAAGCACCACATTTATATAAACATAAACGTATTCATGCTGCTACTGGTATACAACAACAACATCGACAAACAATGATGTCAACAAGATCATCATCAGCTATGTATATTTGTCCGGAACCAAATTGTCAACGAAAATTTCGTACATCCAATGATCTTGAACGACATCAAAAATTATTAGAACATCGTTCATTAATTATTAAAATGGAAGATGATATTAATATTTATCAATGTGCTATGCCTGATTGTCAACATCAATTATTTCATAATCAAGATGATCTTGAACAACATATTAATGATAAACATTCATATGAATTAAATAATACAATCAAATTGGAAAATGTTTAAAAATGAATGAGAAATTTATGTACAAATTCCGATAGAATTTTTCTTCATCCTAATCATCAAAATTCATCATTTACAATAATGGCCACCAACCATACAGATTCAATGTAAAATATTAACAAAAAAATTGGCTACATTTGGCTTTACTATTATCGAATATCACATTAATCAATAATTATTGTTGCTGGTGTTGTTGTAATTTGGTTAAACGATCAATTTCCAATGCCAATGTATTGAGATTTTCCTGTTAATTTAGAGAAAAAAAAACAAATCAAATCACATCAACCAAAATTCATTCATAAGTTTTTTTTTTGTTACCTTTAATGTCATATTTTTTAATAATGTATCTTCAAGTATGGCATGTAATTTATTATTAATCTCTAATGATCGTTCTAATGTCATTGTATCATCTGTTAATGATGAATTATATAATGATGACATAATACCACCACCACGTTTAGAAATATAAGCCTATATTTATAATTAATAAATTTTTTTTGTTTGTTTGATTATTAAATAAATAAAAATGTATCAATTTTTTTTTTGACAACCAAACCTTATTTTTATCCATTGATTCGGTAGCCAATGCACCAGTTTCTTCTTTCAAAATATAATATTGTAATAATTTGGATTTTTTTTTCATTTCATCAATCAATTGTCCATTATGTTCTTCAAGAAAATCAATTTTTTCATTACGTTTAATTAATTGTCGTTGTAAACGAAGAATTCTTTCGATTAATGTATTTCTATCGATATCATTTAATGATGTTAATTCTGTGTTTGTAGTTGTAGTCGTCGTGGTTGTGGTCGTCGATGATGATGATTGAGATGTATCGATTGATAATCGATCACTATTGCTATTTGTATCATTATCATTATTATTCGGTTGTTGTCGCGAATCAATCATTTCATTCAATGAATTTAATGAATTTGTACGCGATGATAAGCTCGATGAATTTGTTTCACTCATCATCATCTTATTCGATGTTGATGGAGCATCAAGCATTTTTGGTTCTTTCAATTGTTGTTGATTTCTTCTTAATTGTTGAATTTCTTTATTCAATTCTTTAAGATTTAAAATATGTTTACGTTTCATAATATTGATATTATTTTCAAGTTCTTCAATTTGTTTATTCAACATTTCCGCATTCTTATTTTTCGATTCGATTTGCGCATCTAATTGTTCGATTTGCGTCGATTGTTGATCAATAATCGATTGTAATCGATGTTGTAATTCATTACGTTCCGTTACGATTCGATCATAATCACAATGATATTGTTCGGATTCTGATTGTAATTGACGATTTTTTTCTTGAAAACAATTATGTTCACATTGTAATGTAACCATTTTAGCTGTTAAACGTTCAGTATATTCAAGTAATTCACTTTCTTTATGTTTACTTGAATTTATTTCATTCAATAATTCATGATTCATTTCACTAACTTGATCAAATTTTCCTTTCAAATCTTCAATAACCATTTGTTGTTTAATTAATTCTTGTTTTAATGATTCAATTAAATCAATATTTTTTTGATGATTTTCAAGCTGATCAAAAGATTTGGTAAGTTTTTCATTAAGTTGTTCGATTTCTAAACGATAATCGGCGATTTGTTTTTCAAGTTCAATAATTTTTTCGTTTAATTTATGATTGGATTTTGTACATTTTAGATAAACATCGATCCATTTGTTTGGTTGTTTTTTCGTTTCTGGTTCATCATCATTATTCAATCCATTATCATCCGGTGATGATTGATGGTCACCACCATCAACATTATCATCATCATCATTATCAACCAGATTTAATGTTTGTAAAGCTGATTCAATTTCTTTCAATTGTAATGATGATGATTGATATTTATTATTAATATCATCAAATGAAAGTTGTAAACGTTGTTGTTGTACTTGTGCTTGTTCTAATTTATTCACCAAAATTTCATTTCGATTACGTAATGATGCTGATTCCAAAATCTGTCGTTCAAGTGATTGCATTAATTGTTTTTTATCCTGATTTAATTCCTTCAATTTTGATTGCAATTGATCACGTTCTTTTAATTGATCACGATATTTTCTTTCTAAATCATCTGAACGTTTTTTCAAATCTAAAACATCTTTTTCTGATGTTGCATATTTTATAACCATTGATTGTAATTCGGATTTTAATTGTTCAATTTGACGATTTGTTGTTAAAGATTTTTGTCGAAAATTCTGTACAGTTCGTTCAAATTCATTAATTTTATTCAATAATTCTTCATTATTATGTTTAAGTTGATTATTATCAATGGATAATTTTTCTACTTTTTCAGCAAGCAATAATTCTGGTGCATTCATTGAAGATTTTTGGTCTTTTGGTGGTGGCTCATTCGATGATGAATCATTGAGTATTTCGTTAACATCATTCAACGTTGGACAATCATCATCATTGGCTGATTGGTTGCTCATCATCATTGTTTTTGGATTTGTTTGTTTGGAATTTGAGATCGATAAATAAATAAACCAAAAAGGGAAGATCGATGGTGAAACGATCTTCAGAAGATGTTTTCTTTCTTTCTTTCGTTGCTGTTATTCCATATCAATATTTTTTGGACACTTTTGCTGCGATAATCATTGCTCGAAAAATATCAATTAAATTAAATTACCCGAAGATGTTTTTAAAAAAAAAGTTTTTAAAATTCAAATCAATTTGGCATATATCATATGTTTTTCATTATGTGTAATCTTTGGCCAGCGTGTAAACATTATAACATTTTATTTTTTTTCAAAATTGACCAACAGATGGTGTTGTTTAAAAAAAAAAATTTAAAAAAATTACATATCAAAATGGCAATGTTGATGACTGATAGTTCAGTTAGGTTAGGTTAGGTTGATGATTATGATTGAATAGTTCAGTTAGGTTAGGTTGGGTTGATGACTAAAACTTATAACTTCTTTTTTGTTTTCATTTAAATCATTATATTAGTGTTAAAAAGTAACAAAAACACAAAAAAAATGGTCAACAAATTGTTTAATTTCAAAAGAAATATATTTTATATTCATCAGAAACACAACATTAAGGAAAGTGTCAAACAAAGCATTTGCTGTGATGTATTTTAATCCCCAAAATTGGATTTTCTTGAAATTTTGTAATTAAAATTTTAGTCGCTATAACGAATCTGTGAATCTGTTCCTTTTTGTGCCAATGATTGATGAGCATTGGTTTCAATATAATATCAGTGATGAATTTGACTTTTTCGTGTTGGTATTCGGTTTTTCTTAAAAGATTTGATGACGTTGTGAATTTGACTTTTACTTGAACGATTACTCTTTTGAGCAAACAAAATTTGATCGTTTCTTCTGATCTTCTTGAATAATAAACATTTCGATAGTTCCTTGGCAGCATATCAATTTTGCCCTGTTCATGTAAATTAAGAATGGCCGTTTGCTGTCACATTAATGCCTTATTCATTAAATTGTTTTGATTCGATTTTAGAGAGGCTCGATAAGCTTCGAATAACAATACTTTGTGCAGAATGCAGAATTAAATCCATATTGAATTGATACCATTCTCGCATCGTGGAATCACATTGGAAATCAAAAACAACAAAATTCTTTGCAAAATTCTTTCTCCAAATATTTTGTCTGGTAAAATCTGGAAATTCTTCATTTTTTATAGGTAAAAAGGAATTTCTCTTTTTTGTTTGATTCATAATTGTCGCATTGAGTATCGCATAAGTCGAAAGCTTTGTAATTCGATAAGAATTACAATCTGAAAATGATTTTTGTAATCCAATTTTTTACAATGAAAATTTTTATATTTTTAAAATGTTCGATATTCGATTTTTTTATAAGTTCGATAAAACTTGTACATTTTTTTAAAAATTGCTATTTTGCCATTGCCATTGCCATCATATCATTTACATTTACAATCAACGACTTTATCATTCGAAATACCATTACACACACACAGCGGGAATAAGTTGATGATAGTGATGTTGTTGTGATACCTCGATATGTCCTTGACGATCGGCTTTTTGAAGCCAAATAGCATATAGCGCTTTGCATTGCCTTGTATAAAAACTTGTATATCAACTTGATGGTTGTATTGTATTTGATCGTCTGCAATATCCATTTCAAAGATTGTTACCATGGTTTTTTTCTTCAATTATCTTCTACGTAGAATCGGATCGTGCTACTTCTTTCGAATTTTTTTCCAATATTTACCTCGACTACGTAAATTTATCCAATGATCGACAACAATTGCAAATGATCATTATCCATAACAATTTATCACTAGTCGAAGTTTCTATATTATNTGATGGTTGTATTGTATTTGATCGTCTGCAATATCCATTTCAAAGATTGTTACCATGGTTTTTTTTCTTCAATTATCTTCTACGTAGAATCGGATCGTGCTACTTCTTTCGAATTTTTTTCCAATATTTACCTCGACTACGTAAATTTATCCAATGATCGACAACAATTGCAAATGATCATTATCCATAACAATTTATCACTAGTCGAAGTTTCTATATTATGTGGCAAGACAATCGTCGAGAAATCGACGAATAGTGATAGTCGATTTATGTAAGGTTGTTAGCGTTGCAGCGCTGCTTCAGTGCACAGCTTCAATCGAGCTAAAT